ACTCTATTTTATCAATGTTTTTAAAAGTTATTTTTGACCTTTAAGGTTAGAAGAATATCCAAAACTTATGCCGATTATCCTTGCATAATCACTCTGAAACATTAATACTTCAAATATTTAAGAATAAAATAAGTTTTTTACTTCTAGTTTTAAAAGTTGTGAGTGGTGAATCACAAAAAGTTTCTTCAAAGTTCCAAGAGCTCATCAGTGTCTGGTTTTTCTATCACATGTTTCTGTTCACTTCACCTTAACATGGGGTTTATTATTTTTACAGACTGTTCTAAATTGTATTTACTTCTAGGAGGTAAAGTTCTTGAATGCAGATGATAAACGAACCCTGGGTGAAGAAAGATTAGTCCTGGTTACTCCTCGATATGTTCCTTTCGCTGTCTTTAGTACTATTCCATATCAGAAACCACACAGAACAACTAGGTAATGTACAGTACAACGCTGTTTATCTTAACATGTACAGTACAACGCAGTGTATCTCAAGATGTACAGTACAACTCTGTTCATATAATTACTTACAGTACAATTCTGCTCATCTCAATATGTACAGTACAACTTCGTTCATCTAAATATGTCAGTACAACACTGTTCATTTTAATATGTACAGAGGACTGAATTAATTAATGAAGAAAGGTTGAACTAGTTATGGATATGTGTATACGATCTCAACTTCTTATCCTTTTTCATTAAATGCCACCTCTGTTTTCTGCAGTTTGGTACATTTATGGGTTGCATGTATTTTTTTAGGGCAGAACACATAAAAAAAGTAAAATCCTAGGAACTAGAACTTTATCTACCGTTCATATTTGAATCAGAACTTGTAAAAGCAAAGCTAAATTGTTGTGTTCTATTTTTTCTCACCTTAAGGATAGTTTTTGTAAGAAAACTTATAAGATTATAATATGCATAACCGATGTGAATTGTGAAATTCATTAATTTCTTTTCAGCATGTTTATTTGTATTGTGTACAATATTTTATATTTTATAACTTTAATGTAAACAAAAATACTTGCGTTCAAACTTTTCTGTCAGTCATATTTCTCTCTTAATCTTTTTCTGTTAATGTTTTATTAATCTTGCATTTTGATAGCATTTCATCAATCAAATTAACCTGTACCATTAACATTACTTTTTTCCAGTTTGAGTAGCATAGTTATTCTAAATAGGTATGTTCTATGTTTTTATGTTAGATGTTAAAACACTTTGGTACAACGTACATTATGTGCATTGTACATTAGAACAAATTCATTGCACGTAATTTTATTGTTATAACCTTATATGGAAGTTTTACACAGAAATTATAAAAGCTACAAAAAATTACATTTGTTGTTAATAGTAAAAGGTTCTGGTTTGGTTCGGTTTCGAGGGTTTGGGACTTTTTAAAGGTACCACAAACTTCTGAGCTGAAAACTTTAGAATGGTGGATATCGAGATCAATGCTTGATCTCCTTTTTTTAATCTCCAGATTAAATAATGCTTGTTCTCCTATTGGTTTTAATCTCCAGATTAAATAACCGATCGGGATTAAGGATATCCCATTCTAAAGTTTTCAGCTCTGAGAAGTTTGTCACAAACTTAAATTTTATAATCTCAATATCCTTGCAGCCTGATGGTGTCAACCTTTAATATTTTAAACTACGATTATTTGATCGAACCAGAATTTATATTGTAAATATCTAAGGTATACGACATTGGGTTGCACAGATATAGAGATTAGAAAATCCGAGTTTGTGGTAAAGATTCAACTCTTTTATTGTTTACACTAAAAATTTGCTTTTCTTCTACTATACCAAATGCTGACCCTATGAGAAATCATATGAAAAAAATGCATCAAAACTATCGTTTTTAATCAATATTATTTTACTAAATTTTTATTTTTTTTAATTATATTTTCTATTAGGATAAAAATATTGCAAAGTGTAGTAAATGCAAACTTGAACAGAATACAGTTTTGATAAATTGGAAATTTTATCAAAAAACATTTAAAAATCTAATTAAACGATTTATAATCCTATTAATAGTTAAGCTTTATATTGCCTTTATAGGCGTATTTGACCTTTATTTTTCAACTATCCATGAATACAGACAAAGCCACTAAAATTTTACCTTTATTAAATTAAAGGTTAAACTCAGTTTAACAATTTTAATTTTGTTTTAAAATACAATATGTGATGTGATAAAATGTAGATTAACTTTTTCATAACAACTTATAACAACTTTTAGAATTCTAAATCTTACATTTTTTGTTAATTATTTAGACGCCAATCTCAGAGCAAACCCATGCAAAGGTAAGCTCAAACGCAAGTCGCCAAAAAATGTTCTTGATTACACAATACACAAGTCGGTTGCCTTCACAAAAAGAAGATCAAGTATCAACTGGCAGTAATAATAAAAACATTATTGCCTTTTTTGATGTTAAAAAAAATATTATAACACGTGAAAAAAATCACTTTTATAATATTTCTGATTAAATGGGTTTTAAGAAATTTTATGAATGTATAATCTTAAGGTACAAAATTTCACACAAAATTAGATAAATGTTAGGTAATAATTATTTTCATATTGATAGTTATTTTTTACCAGAAACATTAGGACAATAAAGTCTTAGACAACGATGGATAAGAATTTTTGTATGTTCAATTGCCTGTACCCTGCCATATTAATCGCATTAACTCTTAAAGGGTGGACCCAAATGCCTTTTTTTCTAACCCAAAAATTGAGTTTTAAAAAAAATCCTGTTATGATATATTTTCTGAAGTTGTTGTTAAGTGTTCTTACTTAGTGTGACAGAAAGACCCCACAATGTAACGTTCATCCATGCTCCACGTGTTTAGGACGGAGCACAAGCATGAACTTGGGAGAAGATTGCGGCATTCATCCGGAGGTCGTCCTTTACCAGCAATTAATGATAGTTTCGACCCGTTTGAGATGTTAGGACTAGAAAGATCTGAAATGGGACAGGTAAAAGTTGTAGCTATTAATGCTTTTTGAAACAAGTTTCTTGGATTTCATGAATTGCTAATCTGTATTTTATTATTTATTAAAATAGATGTATTTGTTTATTTATCAAAATAGATTCACATTGCTCGCTTATTTCTTATTTCTGCCTTTTGACAATGTTTGCAATTTTTTATAGCTTTCATTAATGATTGCAGTGACTCCGAAACATGTAGAAATAAAAAAATCCATGTTCACTTCTGTATTAACCTTGTACAATGTTCACAAAAATCACAAATTTAAACTAAAGTTTAATGTTAAATGCTTGTCCTGAAAGCAGGAAGGGGTCGGTTCAGTGTTAGAAGGAGGAGCAGGACAACTCGAACCTAAAACCTATCCTCAAGCTACTCTACAGCTACCTTCTGCAGAACCTGGGGTTAAGGAACTGGAGAACAAAGAACAAGTAGAGCGATCAAACCCACTCTCCAGTTCAACTCTGGGAAGGTACGAAGGGAAGAAGAGGCCGAAACTTATCCGGTCAAGCCGGTCAAACCCAGGACCTTTAACATTGCCTCCTGCCTTCAAGCTAACCAAGTCCCCCGTGAAAGGAAAAGAAGAAAACTCCGCCCAAACAGCCCCTGCCTCGATCAAGTCAGTTGGCATGTTTGGATCACCTAAGATACTCCAGAAATCAGGACGTGCGCAAGTTAGTCAGTTGACTCGCCAACTCTCTAGAAAGTTCTCCGCCAAGCTGAACGGAAGTTTTGACATCTTGGAGGACGCGTCCTTTCCCTTTCCATTCCCGGACAAGACAGTAAGTGTCTGTTGGATGTTGTTTGTTATGAGCATATATAAATATCATCCTCAATTTTGAAACCTACCCTCAACCAAAGAACCTAAATTGATTTTGTTAAACCTAAAATTGTAGATCACATCTCTCCCTAGCGGATAAGGACTCAGCTTAGGTGTTTGTTCGTTGTCTAGTAGGTAACACTGTCATAAAATTCATACCTTCTGAAACCTTTCATTTAGGAACAGAGAAAGGTATTAAAATTGAAAATATATATGTCGTAAAATTTTCTATATATGTACCCTTTAGTTAGGTTTTCAATCATTTGTTATGCTTTCACATTTTATAGCATAGAAATATTAAGAATCTTTATTTCATTATCAAAATAACTTTATAGATCGCTGGAATACCCTTTGTACAGGACCCAAGATACGTTTGTAATTTTGTGTGCATGAAATATAGTTTTCTTAAATTTTTCTTTATTTATTGTAAATCTTATGATCATATACAATGTTAAAAATGACAACTAAGTATAAGTATCATTTCGTTTCGTAAATAGAGAAGTAAATTAGATCAAACAGCACTGACGTCGTTACTTCGAGCGTGGTACGTCTAATTTACAGCAGTACCTTACAAACCTTCATTGAAGCAACAATGAGGAAGATCGTGGTTGTAAAGCAAGTGTTGAATTCTGACTATTTTCTTTCTCTCTTGGGTAGAGATGAAGGTTTAAAAAATACCGTTGTTAATTGGACATGGAGACCGGAGGGTTACTTGAGATTACGCCTTCTAATTGATTTTTTATATGTATTTATTTATCCAATTCGTTCAAGTATTTTTCACTTCACACAGATCCCAAGGGTTTATATTTTCATGAAAATACTTTTTTTTTTCTCCAAGATTTGGGATATGAACGCTGAATTGGGAAAAACTTGCCTTTGATGTTGAATTTTCTTTATTGTTACCAAAACATCAAGAATCATTTCTTGAAAATATATATAGTACGTACCCCTGCACATCCCATGTTAAATAACTAGTCTGCTGAAAAGATCAGTCCTGTTCTCATTTTACAATTCAAATTCAAATAACATAACTTCTTTTTAGCAATTTCCTAAAGATAAATTTCAAGTTTACCCTATAATTGTAATAAAATGCATGCTCATTGCTAATTGCCATCTGATAATAGCTCAGTTACTTCAGAAACTTTAATGTTCTGGTTTTTATTAAATGATAACCTAAAGCTCTTTTATTGATGTGACATTAAATAAAAAATTAAGATGCTACTGGCCGAAACTAATAAGAATTTTCTAAGTATTTTGAATTAAAAATGTTCTTTTAACTTATGGACTACAATTCAAACCTCATTATTGACCTTAAACCTTCTTTATCACTGACTGGTCGTAAATCTGTATTTAAAAAAAAAAATTAATTTATTTTGTTGTATAGGAAATCTCCTATGGTTGTCTTCTAGAACCAGCCTACAGGTTTGTAATGTATTCTTTATCTCCTTGACTTTCTAAACTTTCTAAATTTTCTACCCTTTCTAAACGTTCTAAACGTTCTAAACTTTCTAATATTTCCACCCTTTATATCCTTTCTACACTTTCTACACTTTCTAAACTTTCTAAGCTTTCTACACTTCCTAAACTTTCTAAATTTGGAATTTATTTAAATGTTTATTTCTGTTTGTATTTTAAATCATGTGAGCTTATCCAATGCCGCGATGTTTGTAGGGATAAAAAATATCTTGTCTTTCTTTAGCCTTGAAGTCCAACCACCCATGGATACAATATTGCTAGAGACAGGACGGAGTTCTCCCAGGCAAACAGTTAAATCTGGCAGGTTAGATTCTTACTCAGTGTCCATAGTAAACCATAGGTTTGAATCTTACTCAGGGTCCATAGTAAACCATAGGTTTGAATCTTACTCGGGGTACTTAGTAAACCACAGGATAGAATTTTACTAAGGGTCCTTAGTAAACCACAGGATAGAATTTTACTCAGGGTCCTTAGTAAACCATAGGTTAGAATTTTACTCAGGGTCCTTAGTAAACCACAGGATAGAATTTTACTAAGGGTCCTTAGTAAACCACAGGATAGAATTTTACTCAGGGTCCTTAGTAAACCATAGGTTAGAATTTTACTCAGGGTCCTTAGTAAACCACAGGATAGAATTTTACTCAGGGTCCTTAGTATACCAAAGGATAGAATCTTACTCATGGTGCTTATTAAACAACAGGTTAGAACCTTACTCAGGGTCCTTAGTAAACTAAAGGTAAGAGGATACTGAGTAAACCACAGGTTAGAATCTTACTCTGGGTACTTAGTAAACCACAAGTTAGACTCTTACTCAGGGTTCTAAGTTAACCACAGGTTAGAATATTACTCTGGTACTTAGTTACCACATTTACACCTTACAAGATTTCTGCCAATTTTAAACATTTTTAATGTTTCAAAAACATGCATAAAATATGAAATTATATTTTCATTTTCGATCAAATTGATTTTATTAAAACTTTGGTTTTAAGGATTTCTCCTAAAAGTGGGCGTACTTCCCCCGCCCTGCTAGAGGAGGGTGGGTGGGGTGTTCCAAATGGAACTCCTTACTCTCCGCACACTCTAGATGGATGGTTGGGGGCAGGGCAGCATAGAACATTCCTCCCTTTCTCCTCCTATATGGTGAGTCAATTATACTATTTCAAAAAGACTAGGTTAAGATTGTAATTTGTCTCAAGGATTTAACTTAAATTTTCAAATCCCAGCAACCTTTTTTTCTGAAGCATTTCAAAAGTCGTGATTTTGTTCAGGCGCACCGTGAAGTCATTAATTTTTAATTAAACTCCTATGAAATACCTCTTTTAATCTGTTATTGTTAAATTTCATATTTACTGAAGAAGTTTTAACTGGAGTTTTTATTGTTATAAAAGTTACTTACGCCGTTTACCCGCGCGTGGTATTAAATCATAATTATATCTTAAGTGCCCGGCATTTTAGCCCATGTGACCTCTGTGGTACCTACCAGCCAATAAACCAGCTTTAGTCAACATTTAATATTATAAATATGCATATCTGAGCGAAGAGCTTTATTATATAGATTCATTCACGCATATTTTTTACAAAGTCTACATTTAACTTACATTTTATTAATTTATTGGAACAATCACATAAATACAATATTTATAAATTAGTTTCAAATCAAATAAATCAGATATTTTGTTGGGTGTTGGATTGAGATCTTTTAAGTACATTAACTGTAATGTACTCTGTGACCTTTTGCCTGATATTGACCTGGCCTAACCGACAGCGCAGAGAACCAAACAGGTTTGCTCCATTCAATGACAAAGCTACACTGCAGAGAAGAAACCATCTCAAATGTAAACTAAAATTATGCATTATGAGACTCTTCAAAATATCTAATTTTTCATTTAAAATAAGAATATTTTAACAAAATTTGTTTTCCTCCTGAGTCTAAAACTAAAGAATGCGCGAATTAAGTTCGAGGTTAAAAGTTCTGTAAAATAATGAGTAGCTACTTAAATATTAAACTTTCTCAATTTTAAATTTGAATTTCCCGGGAAAATCTGAACCAATCAGAGAAAAGAATTATTACGTAACTATTGGTAATCAGCTGATTTTAAAATTTTAAATTATACGTGCAAACATTAATTAATCTAAAACGTGAAATTTATTAAATCAAGGTTTTTACTTTTAAATATATTGTAATTAGTTGAATGCCGCTTACCGCTGAATGATGATATGCAAATAGGGATTGCGGTATTTCAAGATTTTAACCCTGTATTTAAATTAAATCGTCGATTTCGGCGAGTTAAATATTTAACCACAGGCTTAAATATTTAACCTCACGGTTAAAGTTCAGGTTTAAATTAAGTCAGAAGTGGCATTTAACCATGAACTTAAAATTTAAGTCAAAACTTTTCGTTCTTTAGTTTTAGACTATGGTTGCTTTGATGGTTCTTAAATAGAGTGTTGGAAAATATATTTGCCTAAAAAGGAAATAAACCCATTTGACTTTAGAGGGGGAAATTCTCAATTTTTTACAATTACAAATGTTTAAAAAATATTCGGAAAAGTTTTCTATCAGTCAATCATTTGTGGAGACACAAACCTATTCTCAATGAATCGATAATACAATTAAATTGGACAATTTGACCCAACTTTATAATTATTTTAAAATGAAAAAACAGCCTTTCATCAAATAGTAGTTAGTATGAACCAGATTACCTGAAGAGAGATATAGTTGCAAACCTATTCTCAATGATAATACAATTAAATTGGACAATTTGACGCAACTTTATAATTATTTTAAAATAAAAAAACAGTCTTTCATCAAATAGTAGTTAGTATGAACTTTATAACCTGAAGAGAGATATAGTTGCAAATATGAACCATGCTCCCTGAGCAACTATTAATCCTCCCCAGAATATATTGGAATCCTTAGATTTAGCCAACTCTCTCTCCTCACTTGTCCAGCATTCATATCTCCAGCTCAACTACAACAGCAACAATAATAACAATATTTAAATATGTACCTTTTAGGAGTGTTTGGCGAGTTCGTTTTAGGATTAGGAGTTTGTTATTTCAGGTCTTTGTCTTATCAGGAGTTTGTCTTGTCGGGAGTTTGTCGTTTCAGGAGTTTGTCTTATCAGAAGTTTGTTATTTCAGGAGTTTGTCTTATCGGGAGTTTGTCATTTCAGGAATTTGTCTTTAGTTTGTTATTTCAGGAGTTTGTCTTATCAGGAGTTTGTCTTATCGGGAGTTTGTCTTATCGGGAGTTTGTCATTTCTGGAATTTGTCTTTAGTTTGTTATTTCAGGAATTTGTCTTATCAGAAGTTTGTTATTTCAGGAGTTTGTCTTATCAGGAGTTTGTCTTATCAGAAGTTTGTTATTTCAGGAGTTTGTCTTATCAGGAGTTTGTTATTTCAGGAGTTTGTCTTATCAGGAGTTTGTTATTTCAGGACTTTGTCGTATCAGGAGTTTGCTATTTCAGGAGTTTGTCTTCTCAGAAGTTTGTCTTATCAGAAGTTTGTTATTTCAGGAGTTTGTCTTATCAGGAGTTTGTTATTTCAGGAGTTTGTCTTATCAGAAGTTTGTCTTATCAGAAGTTTGTCTTATCAGAAGTTTGTTTTTTCAGGAGTTTGTTATTTAGTTTGTCTTATCAGAAGTTTGTCTTATCAGAAGTTTGTTTTTTCAGGAGTTTGTTATTTCAGGAGTTTGTCTTATCAGGAGTTTGTTATTTCAGGATTTTGTCTTATCAGAAGTTTGTCTTATCAGAAGTTTGTCTTATCAGGAGTTTGTTATTTCAGGAGTTTGTCTTATCAGAAGTTTGTCTTATCAGAAGTTTGTCTTATCAGAAGTTTGTCTGATCAGAAGTTTGTCTTATCAGGAGTTTGTTATTTCAGAAGTTTGTCTTATCATGAGTTTGTTATTTCAGAAGTTTGTCTTATCAGAAGTTTGTTATTTCAGGAGTTTTTTATTTCAGGAGTTTGTCTTATCAGGAGTTTGTTATTTCAGGACTGCCTTATCAGGAGTTTGTCTTATCAGTAGTTTGTTATTTCAGGACTTTGTCTTATCAGAAGTTTGTTATTTCAGGACTTTGTCTTATCAGAAGTTTGTTATTTCAGGACTTTGTCTTATTAGGAAAATTTAAAAATATAATTTTCTCCTATCTTTCCTACCTTTCCATCATCTTCTACTACACTCCACCATCTTGAAAATTAGAATACTTATGTTTAGTTTTTTTTAGATAAAACATATTTTGTACCAAAATACATTGTACAACATAACACGTGTATTTTAGTAAAAATAAATGTTATTGAAATTCACAATTTATAAAATTGTGATTGAGAAAATCTTTTCAAAATTGAAAAAAAGAAAAATGAATTCCAATTTTCCCTGAGTCCAGCCAGAAGCCTGCCGGAGATATTCTTGACGATCCAGAAATCTGCGGAGAGGAGGAGGGTGATCATGATAAAGCAGGCGATGAAGGAGGAGGTGAGGAGCCAACCGAACATGTACAGGGCCAATGACATCATCTTGAACATGAGGTGGAGAACTAATATCATGGTGTGAGAAGGTCGTCCTTGCTTCTGCTCTATGATCCTGGACAAATATATAAAAATTAAAGAAACAATTCCCAATTTTCACGTTTTCTTATAACATGCATTAAAACAGAATATTTCTTCCTCATGAAATGTCTTTAAACATTTCTTGTAAACGATTTGAAAACCTGCAGTTCTTGTGAAAACTTTAGGACAGTTTTAATTCCCTTAACAGAAGAAACATATTGCAGTTCATTAAATGAAAGATTATAATGATTTAATAAGTTTAAGGATAAGAAGATCTAAAGGGTAAACCTAAAAAAACACAACGAATTTTTTGGATTATTTCTAAGAAAATCCATAAATTAATTGATGAAAATCCGCAAAACTATTATTTTGGGACCAGTTGATAGTGGATCTACCAAGAAAAAATGGATAAAAAGCTTAAATCCATCTTGAAATCACAGATAGAGACCTATCTCCAGATAAAGCCACATGCCAGTGATGGTAAAATAATAAAGTGGCTGTATATTGGTGCAGTCCCAGGTCCTGACACTCTCAATGCAATAAAAAAAGAAAGCCTAAGAAGCTTTGTTGTCGACCAGAAGAAGAAGTTTGCAATGCATGGGTACTGTGCTGATCACCTAAAGAGGAACGGACGACCCTCTGTTCCAGGAAGAAAGATTGCCAAAGTGAAGAGACTGATGAACAATAAGGAACGCAGGAGCACCCGGTCTGTTTCTAATAGAGTTGGATTATAAGGTACAGAAAATGTCAGATGAGCATGTGTGTAGAGTGTGCAAGGATGTTCCTTAGTATTTATGGGAGAAGAGTGAGGAATGACAGAAAGTGGGGAAAGATCATCAATACTGATTTCAGTGCCAAAATCACTACTTATGACCAATAGAAAATGTTTGGAGTATTCTTAAGGGAAAGGTTGCTGAAAAAGAATGCTCTAATGACCAACAGCTGAAGAAAGCCATCATTGCGACATGGAGAGAGATTGACGAGGATAAGGCTCTATGTAGACATTTGATGGCATCTCTGCCCCACAGACTACAAGCTGTTATAGACAAAGGCCGTCAAATCCAGAAGGAAGACTACTAAAAGTTTCCAAATACTCAAATATATATGTAACCACTAAAATATATCCAATAAAACTGTTTGAATCATAATGCATTAAACAATTAGAGAAGAATTTGTATTATGTGTGGTTTTTTTTAGGTTCACCCTTTATATTATAATTGCTGATAAAAGGGAATGCTGATGAAATTTTGAGTTGTCTAGAGTTTCATATATGTTAAGCTATCTTTTTTTTGCTAAAAATGTTATATGATATGTTTTTTCAAAAGCGGTTTTTTGTAAAAGGAACTTTAAGATGAAGGAAATTAAAAGAACTTTTATATTTTCAAAACAGAAACTAAATAATTACTTATTTTCGATCAATGGAACCTTTGTGAATCTGACATGTAATGCTTTTTTAATTAAGGGTCACTTGAAACCTGGTCGACAGCAAGGTAATAATGCAGAGGTGTACGAATCATTGTACTGCAGTGTACTGTCTCTGGGCGGTAATGTAAACACAAGACGGATGTCTCAGCCTGACATGGGATCCATCTTTTACATAAAAAATCAATGAAGTTTTCTGGTCATAGGAAACTATTATGTGAATTATCAAAATTTTCAAAATTAAATGCTTTTAACCTCCTCGGATACTAGAGGAACACTGATGCATCTATTCTTGTTTACAAATTCCGCCCAGAGAGAACTGTTTTCAATATGTACGCAGAGTATACGCCACTGCAATTAAATTTCCTTGCATTATAACCTTGGTCAACAGACTCTTTAAGCAATGGTACCAAGTACATTCTTATAATTAATTTACCTATCGTTAGAGATTGATGCGTTAACTGTAGATCTTGTATCCAGATCCTCATCTTGTAATCTAGTATATCCAGTCATACTTTAACCTAGGATATATAATAAGAGATAGATCTTGTATCCAGATCCTCATCTTGTAATCTAGTATATTCAGCCATACTTAAACCTAGGATATGTAATTAGAGATAGATCTGGTATCCAGATCCTCATCTTGTAATCTAGTATATCCAGTGTATCTATTATATCCATTCATTATAGAATATATTTTATAAGATGGATATTTCAACTGTTGCTGCTTGTATCCAAACCTTTTAGTCTTTCTCTGACTGTATTCCTTATATTTATAAATATATATAGTAATACAGGGTTTTCCACAAAGTATTTTATTCTTTAACTTAATAAAAAAGAATGAATAAAAATTGTACAAACGTTTCTAAAGTCTCATCGAACGCATCTCTGAGATGGTATTTAATTAATAGCCCTTATCTCTCCTTTACTGCCCAGTATCATCCAGTCGTTGAACTGGATAGAACTAATCTATCTATTATTAAAAACTAAGCAAATGATTCTACCTTTATTTATACTTCTATTCCTTTACTCATGGATATATTTACTGAAGAATGTATTCTAACAAAACACCTGTTCAATATGGTTCACCTGTTCCGAGAATTCAGCTTTCTAACACATATAAATATATACATATATATAATTATCTAATATTCTTATTAATTGACATATTCAACATTTGTAATCATGTTAATAATAAAAATTGCATTTTGTGAAAGATATGAAATGTCCTGATTTTATATAACAAGAAAATTACCTTTTAAGGAGATGAACTATTGTGATGAAATATGGAAGATTTATTTTGTCTTCTAGTATTGTATTTAACATTTATCTGCGTACATAAGGGTATTCTTATATTGTACTTTTTAGACGAGTGTGATAGAGTACGTAAAACCAGCAGATATGAAGAAAGAGCTGAACGAGAAGTTTAAAGAAAAGTTTCCCTCAGTAAACCTAACCCTGACCAAACTAAGGAGCTTGAAAACTGAGATTAGACGGATTGGAATTGAGTGCGATGTGGATACTGTAACAATAGCACAGGTTTGGTCCCCATTTTATTCCCTAGTATTTCCATTTCTTGTTCGTCGAATATATCAATACAATAAAGACTACTTTAAATTTTAATTTTCAATTTGATTTCTACTAAGCTTTAAAACAGCATGAATACACACAAACATGGAAACAAAGAGAAGGTGTCAATTATCAGCTTTTCTTTGTTTACTAATAAACTATTAATTTGAAGAAAATGTTGTAAGATATCAAAACTTAAAGAAAAAAGTCGTCTTCGTTGTATTGATATAAACGCTGACTACTTAAATATTTTATTTTAAACCCCTGGTTTAATTACATATTTTTCATTATTCTAATTTTTCTCTCTTCTATCTTGGTCCATTCACTAAATATGCTCTTATTAAGTGGTATAACAACGTAATTTAAAGTGATCGTCCAAATTTTGTATTTATAGAGTGACATATCCGATTCACAACTGTTCTTTTTGAACCTCTATCTAAGTAACAATGATTAGGATATTGTAATTTTTCTGATTTTTAAGTGTTAAATTCTGTTTATTTTGATCATTGTCTCTGGCTTTTTATATATCTGCAAGACTCAAGTCAATCAGACATGCAATTCTATAAATGAAGGGTAACACTTACTTGAAAGTACATATTCTGTCTTTTTAGGATTCTTTTTATTTTTTGTTTTTGTTTATCTGCAAGGTTGTTAATCATTATAATTTTTGTCGATTATTGGTAATATTTTTTAACCATTTTTGTTTTTCATGTTTTAATCTTGTAGGCGTATGTTTACTTTGAGAAACTGGTTCTGCGGAATATAATCAACAAATCAAACCGGAAGTTCTGCGCAGGCGCGTGTATAATCCTAGCAGCTAAACTTAATGATTTCAAAGGAGAACATCTTAAACTATTAATTGAGGTAAAAACAAACAAAAATTATATTTGCAAAAACAAATTTTTTTTTAACGCAGATAAAAGTTTATCATATTAAAAAATGAAATAATATTATTATCAGAAATCAAATAATTAAATTATTTAAAAGTCTAAATAAGAAAATGTCAGTGGATTAAAATGAAAAAAATGTAAAACATCAATTAACCAAAAAGTAAATAAACATCATGATAAATGTGAAAATAGTATAATAAATATTTTAATTTTAGAAAACTGAGACAATATTCCGGTTGAATAGACGGGATCTTCTAGCTTCTGAGTTTGCTATCCTCGTAGCTCTAGGGTTCAGTCTTCATGTTCCTAGCCAGGTACTGCTGTAGGGTTCAGTCTTCATGTTCCTAGTCAGGTACTGTTCTAGGGTTCAGTCTTCAGGTTCCTAGCCAGGTACTGCTCTAGGGTTCAGTCTTCATGTTCCTAGCCAGGTACTGCTCTAGGGTTCAGTCTTCATTTTCCTAGCCAGGTACTGCTCCTCGTAGCTCTAGGGTTCAGTCTTCATGTTCCTAGCCAGGTACTTCTCTAGGGTTCAGTTTTCATGTTCCTAGCCAGGTACTGCTCTGGGGTTCAGTCTTCATTTTCCTAGCCAGGTACTGCTCCTCGTAGCTCTAGGGTTCAGTCTTCATGTTCCTAGCCAGGTACTGCTCTAGGGTTCAGTCTTCATGTTCCTAGTCAGGTACTGCTCTAGGGTTCAGTCTTCATGTTCCTAGCCAGGTACTGCTCTAGGGTTCAGTCTTCATGTTCCTAGCCAGGTACTGCTCAGAGGGCGAATTACAGGGCGGCTTATGATATTTTCCGGAGGGGTGGGGGGTAATAATTGTATTAATTGTATTTGTATTCCCCATATGGATTTTTTTACAGTGAATTTGGTCATTTGGTGTCAAGACCATGAGTAGCTTGGGGGGTAAAAAGTGGAAAATGTTTTTTGAATATATAATTCTTAAGAATTTAAATTAAAGGGCTAGAAGATGCGTGCTCTCTCTGTTTGCGCTTCTAATTTTTCCAGTTGGGGGGCGTCCCCCCATTTTCCCCAATTTTCCAGGGAGGACGTCCCCCTCCCCCATAAATCGAAATTGTCTACTCCATTTTGCACCAAAAAATTATACAACAGCAAATAATGATTAAAATCCTAGGAAGAAATAAATTAAAAAATCTATTTTTAGTAATTAACAAGGAATAAAATATTTTGACAGTGTTCGATTGATTAAATGTTTAGGAGGTGTATCCCCACTACCAGCGGTTAATCTACCTCACATAGTTACAGAAATAAGATCTTAAACCTGTTTCTTACTAAACATATCAGTTATCTGTGAACATTAAAATAAATCTAAGCAGAAAATTTGAATATATTTACAGTCAGCTATGATATCCTATAAAACATAAATTGTTAAAACATTTATAGTTTTATTTAAAAGTGTATGAATTTGTAGTAATAAATGATCTATATATTTTATTTACAGAACAATGAATATTTTACCAAAAAAGAAATGGCATGTCCGTACAAAAGATAATATAGAACGAGTGAGAAGAGATGAGGCTAAGGTAGGAAAATATAAGCGGTATAAAAATAGAAGAACGAATGTTTTTCATATGTATTTAATTAGAAAGTAAACATAAAAAAAATAATTACCCTTTAATTATTAAATGATGGTGCAATTACTTTAAAAATTGATTTTATACAGAATTTAAGAAGTTTTTTTTCTTCATTTTTTTTAGAAAGAAAATCGTCCAGTACTTTTTTTAAACTATGCATACAGTTCCTTGGTTCAGAGAGATGTAGGATTATTATTTTTAAATAGTTTCGCAAATGTATTCCTGATTAAGTACCGGACGATTTTTCATCTTTTTTGGTGAATTTTTAATTTTTTTTCTATCTCTAAAAAAAATGAAAAAAGACACTTTATACTCTAGGCAGCCGAAGAAGAAAGGGAAAGGGAAAGGAGGCAAAGATTGGCGGAACAGGAAGCTAGGACAAGTCTTCTAAGGTAATTGAACAGAAAAAACATTGTTTTTGTACAAATCAATCTCTCCTATCTGCTTAGTGTTTTATACTAGATTTTTAATAAAATTTGACTGTAATAAAAATATCAGAAAGTTGGGAAATTTATGAATAGATCAAGCAAGTGGTTCAACTTTCTACAAATATTCAAACTACTTCTCTCTTCTATTCTTATATTAACAATAATTCTAGCAATACTTAAAATGCAGTTCTCAACATATCAAAACAAAGTTTACGAAGTATTTTTATATTGAAATTGTTTTTTTAAATTTAGATTATTAAAAATAATCATCTCTGTTATAGAAACAAAGCCCGCGGAAGGTTGGGATTGGATCCTGCAGAATTAGAGGATAAGTCTAGACCAGAACCTGGAGAAGGACGGATAGAAAGTCAAGGAGACAAACAGGAACCTGTAAAACAAGTTGGTATGTCATTAGTTAACCAGACGGAATTAAGGTTTTGCTTAAAAATGTTAATGATAGTAGTAGTATGTCCAGAGGGCACTAGTTCTGCTACAGTGGAACCTGTAAAATTTTGGAATTGGAAGAAGCAATCTTATGTTTACTGTTTAGTTTTCTTACAAAGTAAATATTTGAACTAGTGACCCTCGTTTTTTTAAATAGATAAATTCTGTCCTTTTTATATTTTCTGCATAAAAGAATTGAGTCTTTGTCAGAAACGTTTTTTTTACTTCCCATATATTTGAAACCAAATGTCGTAGACCTTAGATATTTCAAAGAATAAATTCTGTAAGATCAAATAATCTAAGTTTGAAAATCAAAAGTTCACAGCATTAGATTGCTAGGATAGAGGCAAAGGCTTTATTCTTTTGCAAGTCACGATTTATAATTATTGATTTTCAGATTGTAAAGCACTTGCGAAGCAATTCCGTTGCGCGCAATTCTGCGAATATTTAATTGCTTTACTGTTCGTAATTATAGCGCGCTATACAATGGCACAAGCGGAAGCAAATATTGCAAGCAATTACGCGCAGCGGAATTCCGATTGGAAATCCTGATAAAAACTGTAAGGTTAATAATTTGTAAATATTAAATTGTTTAAGCTGATGCAAAGACATATGAAATATGACGTTAACTTTTTCGAAGGTTTTGAAGGAGGTGGAGCTATTGAGAGTTTAACTGGAGTTGGAGGACATGTAAACTTTTTCCTAAACCTAGAGGAGGGAGAGAAACTAGCAAAGGTAGGTTTAAATAAAAAAATCTGTTGTTTAGATCTGTATTTTTGATAATTCATTCCTTGTAATCATCCTTTTTTTCTTGTTTATGGTGCTTGGTTTTGTTATTTTACTTCATGTTCAGCCCTCACTCCTGCAAAATAACAGTTGACTGTTAGTTTGTTTTTGTTTAGTTTTATTGTATTTTATATTGTGGTTTGTTTTGTTATATTTTGTTTATTATATATGAATAAATCCTAAAATATTTTGCTGTCTAGGGGAACGAAGAGCACGAGTCTGAGAAGAAGAAGGAACAAGAAGAATACGAGAAGAAGATTGGTTATCTTACTTATCTAGGACAGGATACAGAGGAGTTAACAGGTAGAGTAGTACATCCAGGATACAGAGGAGTTAACAGGTAGAGTAGTACATACAGGATACAGAGGAGTTAACAGGTAGAGTAGTATATACAGGATACAGAGAAGTTAACAGGTAGAGTAGTATATACAGGATACAGAGGAGTTAACAGGTAGAATAGTATATACAGGATACAGAGGAGTTGACAGGTAGAGTAGTATATACAGGATACAGAGGAGTTAGCAGGTAGAATAGTATATACAGGATACAGAGAAGTTGACAGGTAGAGTAGTATATACAGGATACAGAGGAGTTAACAGGTAGAATAGTATATACAGGATACAGAGAAGTTAACAGGTAGAGCAGTATATACAGGATACAGAGAAGTTAACAGGTAGAGTAGTATATACAGGATACAGAGGAGTTAGCAGGTAGAGTAGTAGTATATACAGGATACAGAGGAGTTAACAGGTAGAGACGTTTATTCAGGATACATAGGAGTTGACAGGTAGAGTAGTAGTATATACAGGATACCGAGGAGTTAACAGGTAGAGAAGTATATACAGGATACAGAGGAGTTAATAGGTAGAGACGTTTATTCAGGATACATAGGAGTTGAAAGGTAGAGTAGTAGTATATACAGGATACCGAGGAGTTAAAAGGTAGAGAAGTATATACAGGATAAATAGGAATTGACAGGTAGAGTAGTAGTATATGCAGGATACAGAGGGTCTAACCGGTAGAGTAGTTTATACAGGATACAGAGGAGCTAACCGGTAGAGTAGTTTATACAGGATCCAGAGAAGTTAACCGGTAGAGAAGTAGTTAGTTCAACGTAATCATAAAAAAAAAAAATTTGAATTAATAGATTTATGAGTATAATTTTATTTCAGGAGAAAAGGTTTGGTGGAGAAAACTGCCTGTAAGAGAAGAGACTGAGGACCCAGCTCCTAAATCTGACATTGGAATCAAACAGAAGAACTTTCTCGATCCCTTGAAGGACGTGAAAAAGTACCTTGGCTGTGAACACGAGAGTTTATCATTAAAAAAACATGTGGTTGAGGAGAAAAAATCGTTAAAACGAAAACGAAGCAGCTCGCCAGAAGCTAAAAAAAAGAAAAAGAAAGAAAAGAAGAGTAAAAGTAAAAGTAAAAGTAAAAAACATAAGAACTCCGATAGTGATAAGGAAAGAGGTCGACGAAAAAAGAAGAAAAGAAAATATTCAACTTCTTCTGAATCAGAAGAAGAAGATAGAAAGAAGAAGAAACTAAATCTGGAAAGGTTAAGAAAAGAAAGATTAGAAAGAGAAAGAAAGGAACGTGAGAAAGCAAATAGATTATTACATGGAGAACCTAAAGAAGAAAAACCTTCAGCTGATAACCCCCCAACCTTGAAACAATCCTACAACTCACAATTTAACCCAGCCATTGCTCGACAAAATAAACTTGATCCTAAGCAGAAATATTGGCTTCAATAAATTTGTAACATAATTTGAATCTTTTAAAAATTTCAGAAGTTTGTTATTTTCGAAAATGCGGGAGTCTGTTGAGAGTACAGCCGAGTTTTCTGTAAATATGACCTGTGAGTCATGTGAGAGTAAAGTGCGGTCAGCTTTGCTAAAACATGGAGTTCAAGACTTTCAGGTAGTGCAGTGTTCGCAAAAAAAATGTTTGCAGGCAGGTTGATCAAATATTTACAAAAGGGAAGATAAAATATTTACAGAGATTCGTATCGGAAAGATGATTTAAAAATGATGAATCCATTTATATATTTAAGCATAATATTTCTACAATTTATGTTTAAAAACCATATCAATCTCTTTTTAAATCATGTTTTTTATTCGTAAGTATTTTTTTGGAGAACAATGCAATGCATTAATGTTTTTGTGAAGAAACAATAATTTTTGTAAGTATCTGAAAATTAAATCTATTTTTGATTGGAATCTTTAATTCAGTAATTATTACCCCCAAACTTCACCTAAATATCGGAGCAATCCCTTTCCTAAATAAATCCATTCTTAATGATTTTGATCCCTTAAATGTGAATAAAAACGCTGCAGGTATACAACCGACGTGTACGGATCATAGATAAAGATAGATTGCGCATAAGATGACATTTTTCATCTTGAAAGATATAAATGTATAGAGATGTTTTAAAGATATTCCTATTATATAGATTAACTAGGTCGGTTGTAAACATTGGCTGTTCTTATGTCATTGAGTACATGTGGTGTACATGAGTTCTGTAGAAAGAAATTTAAGTTAGTTTAGTCCTTCTCATGTCCTTCTTAAGTTCTCGTCAATATGATATATTGCTCAGTGAAATATTGTTGTTTAAATAGTTCCATTCCCGGTGTGGCGTTAATTCTGGGTAAACGTTAAATAATGGTAGTAGATTCTACGCAGCAAATTATCCGCGCATATTTTTGCAGTTTACGGCAATACACGCACAACAGAAATCTGATATTTTAACTGAAATTTTAAAATTATAAATTATATTTATACACTTAAAGTATACACTATATGCTGGTATATAATGTGAGTACAGAAGTAATTAACTATACATTAAACTCTCATTAGTTGCAAGTAGCAGAATCTTAACAATTAACTTATGTAAACTGTAAAGCTGTAATTGGATCCCTAATGTTAAAACAATTGATTTTTACTGTCTGTTGCTCAGCAAAACTTGATTGATTCTCAAATATGAGAAATACTTTCACTTAATTTACTGTTTACATTCACAGAATTGCAGTGTGCGAATGCCGCGGAAAATTTGCTGCGTAGAGTCTACTACCATTATTTAACGTTTACCCAGAAATAACGCCACACCGGAGTTATTTTACACTCTATTATGAAATCCATTAAAACACGAAACCACCCGCTTATCATTGAAGTACACTTTGATCCCTAGAAGTATGAGTTCGCGGACTGTACAATTCTTGGTGATTTTGCGTACATAAGCTATCTATGTTTATTTATTTATCTATGGTACGGATCAACCGTTTATGAGGGAGAAGAAAAAAAATACGTTTTATTTTAGCAAATAAAGTTTTAATTGTATAAAATGTATTTGTATATTTCAGATAGATTTACCTTCTCAGCGTGTAATAATTACTTCTACAAAAATAACAGAAGAACTTAAAAATGTTATAGGTAGGTAAATAAATTTTTTTTTTTTTTTTCTCTTTCAAACTTTTTATTGAAACAATAATGGTACAGATCTGAGAAAATTGTGTAATAATGATAAAAACACACGAATATTCATTTATATATATATTTACAAAAATGCTTCTCGCAAATTACTCTCTAATTTAAAGTATGGAATTTAAACTAGTAAAGACTTGACAACTCTGAGATCTGGAATATGATCCTACATGAAATAAAAAAGGACCTCTTTTTTTGATTATAATAGAAAATGGAAAATAGCAAATAAATTAACATCATTTCAATTAGCTTTGGAACTCAGCTTTGCTTGGAGATCTTTTCAATTTTTAAAACCAAGCTAAGGACATTTTAATCTATGTTCTAAATTTGAGGCAAAGTTTCCCCATTTCTACTTATAAACATAAATTGCGCAAGGCACTTTCGCAGAGAATCGGCAAATGAAAAAAAAAACAGTTTAAATAAACAAAAAAATTATATCTAAGTTATCCTTGATCAGACAAAGCTTTCAAGGCTACCGTTGTAAATCGGACATTGTCACCTTTGCGTGGAGCTTCACTTAAATTACGCTTACAATCCCTTTAAAGAACTTATTAAATAGCAGTAAAAGTCTTGTTGGTTTGATAATTACTTCGTTAATATTTTCTTGTTCAGCCATCTTGTTTATCGGACTCATTTTGTATAGAAGATACTGGAAAGCTGGCAGTACTGATAGGAGTAGGAGGAGAGGGAAGGCTTCAAGGTGGTGAAGAGAGGGTCCATGGAGGAGGTGATGTTCCACGACAAGGACTAGGAGCTGCAGTAGCTATGCTAGGGAAGGACGGGGATTATTTTACACCTGGAGTCAAAGGAGTTATTCGGTTTAATCAGATAGATCGCTCCAGGTTAGATATATGGTTAATGATTATATGTGTCTTTTTGAAAAACCGAAGAGAAGCCAGCCTTATACATGTCGTCTTCAATCAACAAAAACTTAGATACATTTGAAAAAGATTAAAAAGAATTTTTTAGGTTAACAACAGCAAAAAAACGTCAAAAACTCAACAACAAAAACATAGCAGAGTTCTGCTCAGAAAGCTCTCTTCCCTATTTGCAGTGGAGGCTGAGAAAGTTGTTTGCACATAGAAGGGAAAGAAGACCAAGCGGCCCTGAACGGCCTGTGCTCAATTTGCTAGTTTCCTTTCTTAACTGCAGAACCCACGGCCGGGGTACTAAGTCAGGAAATAGGAATAACAAAGAGCTCATATGTCTAATACTAATCCGGTTTAAATCCACTTCACTTAGCGATCGGCCTGGAAGGGCTCTGTCTCTGCTCCCTGATCAAAGGGGACAACTCAGCATTCTGCATGCAGCGGTGCAGACTAAATGCGATACTTCCTATTGGAATTCTGCTGGACTGGTAAACAGTATAACATTTGGACAAATGGAGTGATTTTAACGAAACATTCCTGATACGCCACTCCTACAAACCCTTATCCACATCTATACTTTCCCTTACCTACCATCTAACCTTCTCACAAGACTCACAAGCAGCGAAATGAGACTCGAGGACATTTCTCTGTTGGATCCTACAACAAAAATACCTCTGTGCGGGGTCACTTCATTACAGTGCTTAGGATCCATTTAATTTTGATGCGGATCCGGATCCTGGATCCGCTTTTCAAAAAAATGGATCCGGATCCGGATCCAGGTCATTGATCAAAAAAAATTTTATTTTAGTTCAATATCTTTTCATACCTAAAAAAATGTTAAACATTTTAACATTTTTTTATACTATTTTTCTACTAGTTTCCACAAAATTATAATGATTTTTTTTACTTTATCCAGAAAGAAAACAGGTCTAATTCATATTAGCTTTTAGTAGAAGGAGGGCGTTTAGAATATCTGCCTTCAGGCAACTCCTTAGGTCTGATTTGAATATCTTTAGTGCAGAGAACAGTCTCTTAATACTTGGAACACAAGATGTTCCTTAGCATCTGTATCTTTTTAGCATATGTGCGCCCCCTCCCTTTCCCCCCTCACTCTTACACATCCTTACACCTTAATTTGTGAAGAATGAATTTGCTTAGTTGCAAGGGGGAAAAGGGAGACTTCTCCCCCCCCCCTCTCTAGTTACTAAAGGGGGGGGGGTGCACGGTGGAGGTCTGAGTTAAGATTTGAGCAAGATAAAAACCTGAGACCCTGAGAATATTTTTAAAATCTTTTAAACAATTCAAAATAGGATATTTTTAAGGAAAAATAACGCTGTTTTGCATATTTTGAAAAATGAAATTTTGCTTGGATCCGGATCCGTGGATCCGCATTTTTTTGCGGATCAGGATCCGGATCCAGAGAGCCAAAATAATACGGATCCAGCGGATCCGGGTCCGGATCCGGATCCTAAGCACTGCTTCATTATCCTTCGTTGAAAAGCAACCCTTCTTGTATAGGAAAGTAAAAATGTGCGGTTCATAGCAAAGAAACAAACTTGAAATGCTAGCAGTGGTAACCTAGCCAATGCAAGTAGACAGAATGTGCAGAGCTGAGGCTGCAATTACAATTAAGCAAAACAAAACAAGAACGGAAAAGGGAACATCTTTACAATGAAATGGATGAAAGGGTGATCGTGCACTGTCTTATAATGGCGCAAGCCGCAAATATAGCCACTCGTAAACATTCTTTCAAAAGAAGCGCCGTAAATGGTCGGGCAAAGGGAGGAAATGAGAAAGAGAAACTGCAGACATGCAGATGGAGAAAGGAGAAAAAAGCTATGCCTCGTAACATTTTAATTTCATAAAAATTATAAAAAATAAAGTGTAAAACATTATTAAGAAAGGTTTAGCTGAAGTCAAAATGCGTGTATTAAAGGGAGTGTTCGTGAAAAATGAAAGGGGGTATAGGCTTAATGCGATAAAAAAGCGCTTTAGATCGCTAATAATCTTACTTCTATCTGTTGCGTCTATTAGGAGAAAATTGTTAAAAACGACTGACACCGAAGAACGCAGCGCCCATACAAATTCAGAAAGATGCAACATTCAACTCGGATCGTAAACAAATCAATTTAATTCCAAACAAATCATTCAGATATTACAAACAACAGTCATCGATTATTTTTCGACGCATTTGTATATAGTTAATATTTCATAATATTTTTGATTTTGTTTTTTTAAATAATTTTGGCTGGCGCTGGATTTTCGAACATTCCTGGAAAATATGAAAATGTCGTCTTCACTATAGAAAATCCTCGAAACAGGAATAAATGTAACTCTCAGATCATGAAAAATACAAATTATTATGAAATATCAACTATTTACGAATGCGTCGAAAAATAATCGATGACTACTATTTGTAATATCTGAATGATTTGTTTGGAATTAAATAGATTTTTTTACGATCCGAGTTGAATGAGTTGAATGTTGAATCTTTCTGAATTTGTATGGGCGCTGCGTTCTTCGGTATTAGTCGTTGATAACAATTTTCTCCTTATAGACGCAACAGATAGAAGTAAGATTAGTAGCGATCAAAAGCGCTTTTTTATCGCATTAAGCCTATACCCCCTTTCATTTGTCGCGAACACTCCCTTTAAGATCAAATTTAAATTTGTACAGATAATTTAGCCAGTTTCGCGGTTTTTGCGAATAAGAACTCTAATTTCAATATATTGTATATGTTAAAAATATCAGGTGTATAGTAGAGGGAACTCTAGATGGTTTAGAACCCGGAGAACATGGTCTAGCTGTCCACGAGGCTGGAGATGTTAGTAGAGGATGTCATAGTCTCGGAGATCATTATAATCCAAGGTTGGAAATTATCTTTTAAATCATGATTATAGATGATAGCAGAGCAGATAACTAAGTTTTAACCACAAAGAGGGCATTGTTAATATCGCTTAACCTAACCTTACTAAATTATTTTGGCAATATTTTGATTATATTTTGTTTTATACTTTCCATTAAACTTCTGTGAATTTTTGCATACAGTCCCTTTATATATTTTAATTGAAAGGGGAACTAGACATGGTTCGCCGGAGAATATGGAGGAAGAAAGACATGTCGGAGATCTGGGAAATATCAGGAAAATAATCATTGATAAGAAAATATACACTTCAACCCAGTATTTAACATACAGTCCGTCAATTAAGCTTAAAAATTATAGATATAGAGGTTCCAATTAAACTAAAAGAAAAATGTGTTTTATGACATAATGAAAATTTACTCGAAATGAAACTTGTTAACGTGATACGCCATGAATAGATGACATAAAAATGGTAAATTAAGACAACATATCTCAATTATTCATCATAACCATGATACATCAAAAATCTCCGGACTATTATCAGAATTGGGATTGTTGTCTTGTCTATACTGAAATCAATGTTTATCTAAGGATATATTTATCCCTCTTAATGCTTTAATGCCACTCGATAGTGAGTAAATACTCTTTGAAGGGAACCGCACACATTAGCACCTTTTTTGTTCTAAAATTGAGTTCGATAGATCAAACTCTCTTCGGTCTTTATTCGGTCAAACGAAAGTAATCCCTGTAACAGTCAGGTTTTAATGAAATGACAAGAAAGCCGATTGTTCAAATCCTCCTTCAAGATTGATTTTTATTGTTGTCTTCTTACTAAGATTTTTAACAATGATTTATTTCTGCTGGGTTAGAGCAGATGAAAGTGGAAGAGCCACGTTCAGAATAGTTGATCCGATTCTCAAGGTACTGTTTTAAAGTAGGGGGACACAGTCGAGGTTAAAAGAGCTTAAAGGAAGGGGCTGGGATAGATATATAATAAACTATATTTAATGTGAAGTGTGAAGCTGATCTAAATCTCAAGGTATTGTTATCAATTGTAGTAGGAGGATAAAAGAAGCTTCAAAGGGAATGTTGGCGTAATTTCATGTGATTTCGTTTGAAGGGTTACATGCCCGATTCACAACCGGCATCTTTCATCTATTTGTCTACAACTAGTGTTTGGGTTTATCTCATCATGTTGGTGGATTTTTCCTTGAACGAAGATGACGATAATCAACACCTCTTTAACTGTACAGAAAAACCGACAATTTTCAACGCATCCACTCCAGTACAAGAGAAGCTGCTCTTCATCTTGGTTTAGAAGGGAAAGAAACAACAGAAGAAGAATAACAGCGATATTGGCTCAGCTTCAAACTCCTTGATACATTTCTATTCAGGTTTGGGATGTGATAGGACGGAGTGTAGTTGTATCTACTGATAAGGATGATCTTGGACAAGGAAATCATCCCAGATCACTAGTAAGTATCTGAGGGACCAAATACCAAATTGAATGAATATTATGAAGTTAATTACTACGAAGAATAAGTTGAACCGCAAAGTCATTTCAATTCTTGAACCGGGCGGCGCACAAGAAAATTATTTCAACTTGGTCTACGTCTTTCAACTACTTCTCGCTATTCATAAAATCTGGTCTCTGATCTCTATTGATTGCAGTTTTAAATATAAAGCAGTAGAAACAACTTTTGTATAATTCAAATCTTATTAAAAATATAAGATCGATTGTAACATTTTAAGACTAAATATTTTTCTAAACCATTACCTTGGTCTTAAATTCCATTAACTTATTCCAGGTTAGTTGTTGATTTTTTTATGAATAATTAACGGTTTGGGTGAAAAACGGGGAGGAAGTTAAATGAATATAAATATGAATATGAAAGGTAGAACTTCCAGATCCGTCCTTTAAAAGACTTTTCTGAGTTTATAACTTTTGTTTCTAAAAGATTGTAAGCATGATTGCAAGTGACCCAATGTGCAAAGATGGCAATGTTCGATTCACAACGGTAACCTTCAAAGATAGATGTCTGATAAAGTATGAATTAGATATGGATGTACGTTTAACTTTTAATTTTAAAGTGCGGTTTCTCTACAAAAGTGACGTCCGCATTTCTACTGCAGGAAAACATGTAGGAATTTTCTGAATTGGACACTTTTATACCTAGAAAAGCGAGAACATCTTCCACAGAATTGATTAGGTAAAGGTTTCAAGAGTACTGATGTCCGTTGCGAATAGGGCATTGTCATCTTTGCATGGAAGGTTGCCTGAAATTCCATTTAAATCAGTGATTAAAACGCCCTTTCCCATTGGCGACTAAACTTAAGACATAGGATACTTCGAGGGTGCCAGTAATTGACAACTTTCTCCGCGTTAATAAGTTAAACCACAATACCTGAATATCAAGTTTAGTCGCTGCAAGTATATCTAAGGAAACTAAGAAACTAAAAACGGTTTTCCTTTTTGTTCATATAAATGTATCTCTAGGTGGATGGCAATTGTGGCCCTGGCCTGGCTTGTGGAATCATAGCCCGGTCAGCAGGTCTAGGAGAAAACTTGAAGAAGATCTGTGCTTGTGACGGAGTAACTATCTGGGACGAGAGAAATAAACCTCTGGCGGGACAGGGCAGACAGGATAATCAACCGGAAACCAGTTACTAAATATTATTGTTGTTATACATTTCTACAAGCTGCCATGCATTGTTATCCTTCAATCTTTTCTTTACTGTGAAATGGCTGTTTGATCATATTCAACATTTTAACACATTTTTGCCTGAATTAATAATGATAATATTTAACCTCCAAAAATTGTATGTAAAAACTATATCAAACTGTGCACTGTTCACCAATGATTTTAAACCAGGAGTTTAAATTAAAATATATTATTCTGTGATTTAATGCCGGTTAAAAAATAAATCAACAATACTTGAGAGCTTGTCTTTAGGTTTTATGTACCACATCATATAAATGTAGATATTAGTTGTGTCTATGACTCTAAATTCTGACCATTGGGCTATTTTGGGACATTCTAATAGAAGAAATTTATATCATAAATATTCATATATGAAAGTATATTAGTTTTAATTAAAAATTAACATGAGGAAGAAATTATATATATATATATATATGTATGTATGTATTATTTATGATTGAGTATCCTGAACTGAGTTAAACTAATGTTATATTGGGACCTTTCAATAACAATTCAGAGGATAGTGCCGTATATATTTAATGTTGAACTTGAGAGTTTAGATGTTAAGAACTCCGCTGTATTACAACCGACATGGGCACGTGTGGGTAAATATTTATCAGTGATCCTAGTAGGATTCCGTATCAAAAAGGGAACGTTTATTTTTCTTGCGACTTAACGGTTATTAGAAGTAAATGTAGTGATTGGGCTGCTTATTTAACTAATGCATAGGAGGGGGTATGAAGTAGAGGACAAGTCTTACGCGTTATTAATTTATGCGGCACCGGCTCAGTAACATCTCGCCTAGTACGCCTAGATATAAAATTTTTAATTTAAATTGTAGTGGAAATGAAAGAATTCCAGAAAATCCACGAATCGAAAACCAAAAATCCGCAAATACAGTAATTCTAACAATGTCGGGAGGACTGCACGCATCTACAACTCTGCGGGGGAAACCATCTTTGTTGACGTAAACAACTTCTCATTCACAATTTAAATCCTACTTTTATATGAACTGAACAATGTTTCATAATTTTATATAATTACTGCAAATAATTACAAATAAACTACTTTCTACAAATTAAAATTCATTATTTTGTTTTTATTTTCATAATAACTTAAACCTAATCGGTGGCCGCAGCGCTCGGCCCCCTAGCCTGTCCTATCCGTATACTAGGACGGACCCCGAGTTGCTATATGGCGAAATGTTATATGGCGAGATGTTACTGAGCCGCAGCACCTCTTGGAGAAATCAAGTGAGACTTCTGTTACTAATAGTAAAGTGTTTATAGTAATAGTTAAATGATGTGAATTATTACAGAAAAATGGCGTCATTGACCAAAGAAGAGTTAAAAACTGCTTTAATCAACCACGGAATATCCCCTCCCCCTGCTAGCTCAAGGTAGGGCCACTGCCCGGGGATTAAAACGACAAAGGCTTAGGTACCCCCCCCCCTATATCGAGTTTTTTTTTTGGTTAATTTCCTAGAATACGACTTTTGGACCCCCCACCCCCCTCCTAACAATTTTGTACATGGATCTCCTACGCGAGACATGGAAATAATTGACCATGTCGAAGCGCCCGGCACCCCAGCCTGTCCTACCCGTGGCGCTCGGCCCCCTACCCTGAAGTGGTCATGTACTAAATTGATAATATGGGGGGGGGGGGGTGATCCAAAAACTCGTATACTAGGACGGACCCGTTTTTTAGAACAAATATAGATTTAATTATCAATAGACAAGCAGTTATCAATAACCATGGGATCATGATAAGGATTATTACTTCTAGTCATAATCAAAGATAGAGGACAAACATAAATATTAAATTATTTACATACATCTAGCTTGGGAACCCAACTCGGCTTTGAACTTAATTTGCTTTATTAAACTCAACTTATTTAACTAAGAATTTGAAAAACATAACAAAGAACATTCCCGTAGTTCTACAGAGTTCCACAATCAAAATTTGAGGCAAATCGGTTAACTGTAAATTACATTGACAGTCCGGACCAACCTTACAACCAATATATCTAGGAAGGATGAATTCCTGGCTTTGTACGAAGAGCACGTGAAACCTGTTGAAGATGAGGCAGGAGAATTTAGCTCAGATGATGAGGTGACTAATAGATTATTATCATTATCTATCAGTATTAAAGATTTATACGCCAGGTTTATTTTAATTACTCCCGGCCCTCCCACTATCTAATAGTCATCATCTATTTCCCTATTTATGGGAGACTAGTTAGTTACCCCGAAGTTGCCTTGGGTACTCAATTCATAGTTACTCTAACCGTTTGCCAGGAAACAAAATTTTTGTTATAAAAGTCGACTTACTCAGCCTAACAACTTAATCTTAAAACCATTCCCGTGGTTCTCCTAAGGTCCTCAATCAATATTTGAGGATTTTCTTTTCTGATTTTCAGGAAATAAATGATTTTTTTCGATGTAGATATGTATTTAGTTGATTCTTTTTTTGGTCAGTTTTTTTTGCCCATAGTTTCTTTCTTCCAATTTGCATTATGAACAATTTAGATGTATTTTTGTATTAGACTGATCCTATACAAGCAAATCCAGAGATTATTTCTTTCCAGTGTAATAATAATAATAATAAAAGATATATCAATTATAAATCCGGATCCGATGATTTTAATAATGATTCTCTGTTGGTTTTGTAAAATTTGAAATATTTTAGATCATCAATTATTATTTACTAGCTTTAAGGGCCCGGCGTTGCCCGTGTGGAAAAAAAATTATATATTTTTAAGACTATAACCAAAGGTAGTTCAAAGTGTACAAATCATGTAAATGTTCGCAAATTATATGCAGTAGAGTACATTAATACAGTATGTTCCCTAGACTATCCATTTCAATTTCGAACTTTTTAAAACTGTTAAATAAACCTTATAAAATGAATTAGGTAATATATAGATTGTAATTTGTAAATTTCTCTAGGTTACAATTAGCCCAAGGAAGAAAACTTCTCAGTCCTCAGCTAAATCGACCGCAAGCTCGAAATCCCCCAAGGTAAGATTCATGGGTGTATATTTTTCATAATTTTTAATGAGGGGGGGGGATTTCTTTTTCCTACTGTATACTTAAAGCGTAAACGCAATTTATTTATTTACGAAATTTATTTTTGCCTAATTATCCAAAAAAGAAGCATAGAAAGCAAAAATAACATGGGTGGGGTGTGTGAAGTAAAATGATTTTCCAGGAATAATACACCCATGGTAAGACTATGTTTTTTAAAAGAAAACCTTTTCGGTTGATCTGACGGAACTCTCATAATAGGGCCAAGAAAATCGTGAGTTCAATCTGATGTGCTCGTTTGCGATTTCAACCGAATTTATCCCAATATTCTGTTAATATATCAATCAAAGCATTTGCTTGCGTCAATAATTAATACCAAAAAATTTTGTTGGCGGAGGACAAATGCAATGAGTTTTCCCCTTTTCAACAATTTTATATTGTTATTTGTTGCTCCCTACAGGTGCATTTAAAATCTTAGGAAATGTAAATTTTTATATTGTTTTAATATCGTGTTATTGTGTTAGAAGGGTAAGGGGGCGAAGAGTATGGTGGAGAGCACTGAGGAGAGTAGTCTGATTATCGGAGACCTAGACCTCGACACGATCGACGACGACGAGCTCTTCAGACTTCTCAAGGTAAGATTCATACAGATTCAATTTTTAAGACAGAAAACGACCATTTCTTTCACATTATTGTTCCTTAAAGGTTGTTAATATTTGTGAATCTAGCATGTTCCTCTTTAAATTACACAACAGCAACAGTCCCTTTAATACGTAATTCTTTTCTAAAATATATTCCCTCTGTAGGAAAATGGTATCGAGGCTGGGCCTATTGTTGCCTCTACTCGACCCTTCTACAAGAAAAGACTGGCTCTAGTTCTCAGGTCAGTAGCGCACAGGGTGCAGCAGCCCTCTTGTCCCCCGGGATTATTTAGCAAATATCAGGTGGGGTAGGTAAACCGAAATGGAATCCCTAAAAAGGTGGTTCAACATTTAATTTATTTTCCCCTTTTTTTTTTGCCTATTTTTAGATTAGAATCTAATCTAACTCCGAAAAATAATTTCTAACATATTTCAAGGAAAGAATCTTATTTTAGTTCCATTGGCACAATTATTTCAAGTTATTTAAATCTCAGTCTGCATTGATAGTTTTTATGATTTTGACATTTTTACACTTTAGGAACAAACAAAATGTATTTTAGGAACACTAAATTCTACACGGCTACAGCAATAAACATGATACTTCTAACTGAAATATTCTATATCTAATTGGGTCATAGCTCATCCTTTATCTGATTTAGGGGTGAGAACGGAATGAACGGGAGTAGCGGAGGAGAGTTCTCAGATACTGAACCTGAGGATGACCAGCCTAGTGGTATAACCTCCCCTCAGGTCAATAACTTTATTTTTTCAAACAAATCTTTTTAATTTTACAGTCTCTTAATAAGGATAATAATTATTTTCAAAACTAAGTGTCCAAAAGCATAGTATAAATCTCAGGCCCAAAACTATTGAAGCTTTGTTTGTAAAATTTATGATTTTTCTAGTAGTTTAAGTTTAGGTTTAATTGATGCTCTATTCTCTGAGCACTTCTTCGCTGTACGAATTTCATCAAAATTGAAAAATATTTAATAATTATAAAAGATTAATCTTCACTATTAGAAAAGAAAATATTTACATGGTGTCTCTAAAAAAAATCGATCTTCTATTTTCAATTGAGTTTCTGTAAAACGAAAATGGAAGAGAAATCGACGTATTCGAAGACAAAATAAAGATGAAATACGGTTTAGGTTACTGTAACCACAAGAACCCGTGGATCCGCCTCTAGTTCCAAGTCCAACAAGTCCTTGACCAAGTCCCCGGTGGAGCTCAACAACGGACTGAGAAAGAGGATGAATCTAGGAGATGAGATCGATTCATCTTTGAGGAATAATCCAACCCCTCGCAGATCCATCCATAGTTATAAGGTAAAACTGAGCTAGGATAGACTACACGCATCAGGGTGGGACGGATTCAAAAAAATTAGGCAGATGGGATAAGAAAGCTAATTTTCTAGAGCTTCCATCCGAGCTTAGACAAAATCTGATTTAAAATATCGCGTTTTTATTTTTATGTGGGGAAAGAAATAAAAAGTTTTTTATTTTTTCAAATACTTAAAAAAAAATATTTATTTTCCCCAATTTAGCGAATAAAACCCTAAAAAGAATACTTTTTTGTGGGGGGGGGGGAATGTTTTTGAAAAGTAGTGAAGATTTTTCGAGAAATATACAGTATATAGTATATACATTACATAAACCCACGTAAACAAATTTGAAAAGGATTTTTTTGATTATGTTTAAACGTTCTGTGTTGGTTTTACTGGTCTTATTTTTTTAAATGTTATCCAAAGGATTATTATCTAATGAATTTTCTAGGTTACTGAGACAACCCGGCAGACAATAGTAAAAACCCATGATGGATTAGAGACCAGGGACACTGTGCACACCCTGGAGAAGTCCGAGAGTAAGGGAGAGGACGGACCTGTCAAATCATCATTCTTCACCATCAAGAAGCTCATCATTGTTCTCCTGGTTCTCGGTTTCCTCGCAGCTCTTTTTGTATATTCAAAACAGAATTCAGGTCTCTCCGCCGACTCTATCTTGGACTCGGTGAAGAAGACGATCGGTGGAACACCCGCCGCACCTGCTCCCACTCCCGCCCCGGTCAAAGCCTCGCCGCCTCCGCCCGAGCAGCCCAGCATCGCCGATGTTTAGAATTCTCATTACTCTACTCTTATGATATTTGACAACCGCCGAATATCTAGTAATCTCGTACAAATTAAAGTGGAATTAAACCTGGTTTTGGTTGACGCCTATGTATTTTAAGTTATCTTTTAAACATTTTATGAAACTCGCCTTTTCAACAAAAAACCTCCACTTAGCGCGTCTGAACATTTTTACATTGAACGTTTTGTTCAAACCCCCGCGTAGATTTAGTTCTGGAAATCCTGAGGTTTTTCTTATTTTCCAGATAAATGAGCTCGGAAGGAGATCGGAGAGAGGATCCGGAACGGAAGGAAGAGGAGGAGGAGGAGGAGGAGTTCGAAGATGCAAATTCAGATTTAAATGATATGACACGTCCTAGTGAATGGAGTCCAGGAGATGAAGTAAGTCTAATTTTTTTTTTTTTTTTTAACATCAACCCATTGTAACCACTGTTTTTCCATTGTTTCGAAGTGGGCGTGAAAGAAAAGTTGTGAACGACATAGATTGATCGAACCAAAGCAATTCATTTTAAGAAATATTTTTTATATATTTTGTAGAATATTGGATCTCCCGCTGTTTCGGATGAAAAAGATGATTCTACGGAGGAGGGAGAAAATAAAGACTTTACGGATGCTAAAGTAGACTCTGTTGGTAACTCTGTAGGTTCTGTAGATTATGTAGACGAGGACGGGTTGGAGGAGGAGGAGAAGAATCTGACCGAGGAGATAAAGGAGGAGAAGAGGATGCAGGCAAACCAGTTCAAGGTCGAGGGGAATAATCTATACAAGGATGGAAAAACTGCAGGTTAGGTATATCTATTCAAAATTGGTCATAATACTAAGCCAAGCAAAGTTTATAGGATAGGGTCAGATACTCCTTTAGACTATAGGTTGCAGATTTCATCTCAATATTCGATTCGATTCGATTTGATTCGACAGTCGTAATAGTTTTGACATTTTTGTCCGAAAGTATTGATTCTGCAGACTCTCAGAAACATCTTCATGTGCAAAGTTTCCAAACACATTCCAAAAATTAAAGTTTTTTCTGGACGTTGGAGAACAATCCCTTTTGAGAATCAATATATATATATATATTTAAATATTAAAATTATACGTTGCATGTAATGTTTATTTTTCCAAATTTCTGGAAAACCTTCAGGACTTTCGTGATTTATTATTGAATGCAGTTTGCATGAGTTAGCAGGAGTTTTATCATTCACAGGGACATTTTTTATCTCTTGTAAATATTATCTTATTATTTTAGTTAGTTTCTTTACAGCTTCGCTTCTAGCTGATACATCTGATGAATTTAGGGTCCTTCCTAGCATATATATATATATATATATATATAGAGAGCACATTTAAATGTCTTAGTTACGCGAAAAGATTATCTGAAATCTACGTAGATTTTTACTCCGAAAGGATTTTTCGATTCGTTTTTTATCATCAGGAAGGTTTTTTAATCGAAATGTTTAAGATCGTTACGTAGGCCCGTGACCGGAATATTTTGATCTTACAGAACCCCTCCTCCGCCCCAAATCCCAACCCCTGTTAAAGAACCCCTCCTCCACCCCAAATCCCAACCCCTGGTAAAGAACCCCTCCTCCACCCCAAATCCCAACTCCTGGTAAAGAACCCCTCCTCCACCCCAAATCCCAACCCCGTTACAGAACCCAACTTATGATGTAACCTATTCTAGTGATAAGAGTATTTTTAAAGCATCAAATGTCAACAATGTAAAGATACTTCAAAGAAACTTCAATGCAAAGGTTTTTCTGTTTCTTTTAATATAACTAACATCTTTATCAGATAGATATTTCACGCATAAATTATTAATTATTAATTTATATATATAAAACTGTAATCTCTGTTTGTTTTTTGTTTGTTTGTTTGTTGGTTTGTTTGTCCTATCATAACTAGGAACCCCTGGACTGATTTGCCTTAATTTTTGACTTGGGAACTAGGGAGAGCCACGGGAATGTTCTTAGCTTAGTTTTGAGAGTGGATTGACTTTAATGGCAAATATTTAGTTTCCCGGTAAAACGGCGGGAGTAACTTTTAGTAACCAGCGCCGGGTTCCCAAGCTAGTGTCTTGTATAATATTGAACTATGTTTTAACCTTTTAATTTGTTTAACTCGTTTCTCATTTTCTGTATTAAGATCCTTTATTTAATCAACAAGAAGTCAGAACTTTTATGTTTTGAATCTCGGGATCAAGCAATTCTACATATTAATTAAATTCCTTTTCGATCCCGTGGTAGCTACTCTGCAGGATAACTTTAGTTGAGGGATTCTAAGATTTAATAGTGCTCACATTGGATATCGAGATCAAGCGTTCAGGATTAACAATATCCACACTAAAGTTCAGTTTTCCTTTTTAAATGTGAACTAGATTCATACAACGACTTTACTGCAAGTTTGATATTTGATATTGATAACTGAATTCTGATTTGTGTTATATGACGTCATAGAATGTTAAGCATCTGTTTCTCTGTTGAATTCTAGAGTTAGTTTAGTTTTAACACTCGACAAGGATATTCAAATTAAATAAAGGAGGGGGGGGGGTGTGTAGATTTTCTGTGACAAGTTTAATTTATTCTGCTGGTATTTTCACATTCAATGTGACCATAAGCGTAATTTCAAATGGCACTGCCCAATTCACAACGGTACCCTTAAAACCTTGGACTGATCAGCTAGGACAGAAATATCATATCTCAAATAGTGTTAGAAATCCCATAAAGGGTGGCACGCTGAGCACGCTAGCGTACAGGTTGAATTCAAGATGTTTAAAAAATTCGAAAAAAACATTTATTTTTTGCGATTTCTGGAAAGTACACATTAATATTTCTTTAAAATAAAACACCTAGCTAATCAATAGTTCAAGATTGGCATGTCCGGTTCACAACGATACTCTTTAAACTTTTATCTGACCAACCTTAATAAAGTTATCTTAGTTTCTCCTTCTTAAAAAGTATTAAATTCTCAGTTCATTCTCTCTCTTCGTTTTATCGGATGCAAGTCACATTTACTGAGAAATTACGTTTTAGCTAGAAAATAAAGGATATCTCATTCATCATCACAAAAAGTTTTTAAGCGTTAATCGAAATTACCTCTGAAGTCCAATTAACATCGATTTTTGATAATTTCTTAACTCTAAGCTTAAATTGTGCCGTAGGTTTATACTATGTCGTCTTATTATATTTTAGTAATTAAATATAGATCTGAAGCCTTACAGAAATAATACTAATTGTTAAACCACCCTTCACAAACTAACGAAAATCTGAAATTTCAGAAGCTGTTGATAAGTATACTGCAGGACTACGGATATGTCCTCTAAGCTTTGCCAAGGACCGAGCTGTCCTCTATGCTAACCGAGGACAAATGAAACGTGTCCTAGGACTGAATGACCAGGCTGTGAAGAACTGTAGTAGAGCTGTAGAACTGGATCCGGAGTATATGAAAGCTATTCTTAGAAGAGCAGAGATATATGAGGAGACAGATAAACTAGGCAGGATTTATTTGATATCCTTAATCCTTCCGACATTTGTTTTGGCTTGCACTCTATTTTCTATCTAAACTTTTTGATTTTTTAAATGTTCTTTATAATTTTTTTATTTTCTTCATGCGGTCTGTCATTAAAAAGCTATGTTTTTAGATTACCTATTTTTTATTTAGTTTGTCAATATGTCATTTTCTTCTTTAACCTTTGAGTATGTTTTGAATCCTGTTTGTTGTGCAGATGAAGCTTTATCAGATTACAAGAAAGTTTTAGAACTCGATCCAACACAATTAGAAGCAAATAGGGCAGTCAGACGTCTTCCACAGAAGGTGATGTTTATTTATGTCATCATTTATTATGCGCTTAGAATCCGTATGTATCCCTATTCAACTGGATCCGTAGTATTTAAGCACCCTTGATCCAGACAGGGGCGGATACAGGGGGGTGGCAGGACCTTTGCACCCTCCTGAGATTTCAGAATAGCTTCTCAATAGCACTCGAGGGAAAGAAAACCTACTGCAAAAGAGAAAAAAATATCTATCTGACTAGCTTCCTAAATCAGAATTTTTCTTCCGAAATAATTCTAGTACCCACTCACTTAAATCCTGTATCCGCCCCTGGATCCCGATCATTGATAAACAAACATGCGAATCTGTGGATCCGGATACAGGTGGGAAAATATCCACACCAAAAAAAAACAATTTTTGGTCTCAACCTTCTTATTTCAAGTGTCAACATGAAGAAATTATTAAAACCCTTTAAAATCATTAAATGGAAAATCCAATATCTGCATAAAATTTAGAGAAAAAGCTTTGGAAATTTATCTTTGTTAGAATAAAATTAGAAAAACTTGAAAATATTTATGGGCTTGAACCGTATCTATTTCTTTGCAAGCCAAAAAGAATTGATTCTAAGCACTGTGTATAGTAGTAGCATCCCCCTACCACATGTTAAGGTGCATGACCACAGTGGGCTTCTTGTCATATCTAAATATCAAGGTTTATTTAACTTAACATTGTTTAGAGTAAATAAACTGCCTCTGTCTCCACTTTCCTCCTAATCTAGACTTACAAAGTTTGATAGCTTTACTGGAATCTTAATTAATTCTTAAAATTTAATCCTACGCTAATAATCCTTTCAGATAATCCATCGAGTCTGAGCCTCTGTCCTTGGAAGATATCTTTCAATTTTAATCTTTAAGTTATTAATCCTTAAGGTTACCCATATTCTTTTTTAACAATTTAAAATTTTTTTTTTTATAAAATAGATGGTTAACATCATAAAGAAGTATTCTTGTAAATGCTGATTTTATTTCTTAAACTCTAGTACTGGCCACACGTTTGCAGCCTTCTCTTGCCATTCCTCTTTGTAATATCTGCTTCTTTGCTTTCTTTTATTCTAGATTTCCTTTCTTGGTGATAATTATACCATCTTTTGGCGCTTTAGAAAAAAATTAAAAATCACTATCTCTGCGCCATTTGAGATAGTTCCCCATATATTTAATCCTTACTTTAATCCTGCAGTAGATAATCCCTCAGATTTAATCCTTAACTTGGATAACTTTTTAGTTATAAAGTATGCAAGTTTAAAATCCCTGGAAACTCCCTTAAGTGCAATTCTACTTAGCGAATCCGTATAGTAAATTTGTCAAATTATATCCTTAGGTTATAATCCTTGGCAGAATTCCTTAAAATTCATAAGTGAAGTCCATGGAAAGATTCCCTGTCTTAAAATCAAATGATTCCAGATCGATGAGCGGAATGAGAAGCTAAAGGCGGAGATGATGGATAGTCTGAAGAAACTCGGGAACATGGTTCTTAAACCATTCGGACTCTCCACAGATAATTTTAACCTGGAGCAGGATCCAAACTCCGGGGGGTACAATATACAGTTCAATCAGAAGAAACAGTGATATTAGTTCTGTTCAGTGAGATCAAACTGTAATTTTATTTCCGTTAATCATGACACTCAACTCTAAAGATTTAATTCGTTTACAAATCATGTTCTCCTGTAGCCGATTTTTATAAACATAGAAGTTAACACTACTTTTTTCTAGTCACCCTGTGCAGTGTGCATTTAATTACATTTCTAATGTTGATATTACTGTTTATCTAAATGATAAATATATGGCTTTAAAACATGATTATATTTAAGAACCGTAATTCTCATTCTAAAACCTTGAAAAACAATTGTGAATTTTAAATAATCTATACTTACAAAATTCTGATTCTGAAACCAGTACTGTACCAGTGCGGATGGTTTTATAATAGTACATGATTGAGATTTTTAGGTACCGCTGAAAGTTTCAGCGCCTATGTTTGTGAAACAGAATTAAGAAATATAAACATTGTAAATGTCATACACATGATTGCTGTTCATGTATTGCAGAAGAATGGGAATCAAGAATGGAAAACCGGTTTTGAGAAATGACGACATCCTTGCTTTTTCTCATACTAGTGGACTTAGGTAACACTGACATTTATTTTGATGAGTGATCGTGAAAAATGAAAGGGAGTATAGGGTTACGGCAAATATTAATCGCTTTTGAACGATCCTAATGTTTCTTCTATCTGTTGCGTCTATCTATAAGGAGTAAATTTATAAAAACGACTTATACTGAGGAACGTAGCGTCCATACAAATTAAGAAAATACCAGTTTAAGACTCGTATCGTAAAATAATCAATTAAATTTCAAACAAATCCAATCCGACACATTCGTATATAGTTGATATTTCATAATATTTTTTTTGTTTGTTTTATATACAATGGACTGGAAACTACTTTTTTCTTCTAGGCGCCTCTGCCACTTGAATTCTTTCAAAGCATCGAGAGCAAAGACATTTTGCGGCCATCTATATCGGCGTTTTAAGTGCATTGTATACAAATGGAATAAGAATATAATGAAAAACTATTGTATATATATTTACCAATTTGCGTCGAAAAATAATTGATGACTGTATGTTGCACTAACAGAATGATTTGTTTGATATTAAATCGATTTTTTACGATCCGAGTCGTATATTGCAACTTTCTGAATTTGTATGAACGCTACGTTCTTAAGTATAAGTCGTTTTTAACAATTTTCTTATTATAGACGCAACAGCTATAAAAGTAAGATTAGTAGCGATCAAAAGCGATTATTTTTCGCCGTAAGACTATACCCCCTTTCATTTTTCGCGAACACTCCCTTTAATCATATTAATAAATAGAAAATACCTTTGTTTCTATAGCTTTTAAGTGTTTGATACTCACATTTTCCTTGATTCTTCAGCAAAAAATCCGCAGGTCGAATTTTGATTATGAAACACAATTGAAAAGAGAAAAAATTAAATAGTTAAATCATGGAATCTCTAACATCTTGATAAGCCAAATCTTCTAAGGGTTCCATCTTACATGCTACTAAATGAATGGAGGATCAGTTAATATAACGTGCACGGTCCCTTTAATAGATATATTAATAGATAAATGTATATATTTTAGTGAAGAGCAAATCAAAGTGAAATTCGATGCTTTCACCGCAGGCACTTAAATCCTCTTTTTTTCAGTTCAAAAAAGTTTTGACTCAAATAATATCTAAACTTGGAAAAGTAAATTTTTATTTTCTTATCTTTTTTTTGTGATCATCTGGGAGATTTAAATGTCGTCAGATCATCCGAAAGGGAAGATTGATCGAAAAAGTTTCCGTAAAATGTTAACGGAAGCTTTTCTTCATTCTAAAAATCCCATGGAGGATGTAGAAAAGGTAATTAACATCTCTTTTAAGTTATTAAATAATTTTGAGCGAAACTTTCTCAATCAAAGTTTTGGGATTAATGAAGTTCGAAATCTGTTTCTCAGTTTTTCTTCATTTATTCACTCGCTTTTGTGGATATTTTAATTACATAAAAATATTAATGTAGTCCCACCCAATCTACGATGGTATATTTAAGTACCTTAAATTCCGCATTGGCTCATTGCTGTCTCGGTACGGCGACAACACTCCTCAAATTATTTGTTTAAAACATTTATGCAGAGATGAAAGATGTGATAATTTAAGATGAATAAGATGAAAGTTCAGAAATAAGATTTGATAGTTGGTATAACTTATGTCAATGAATGGACCTGGGGTGTATTCGGGAGTTAGTCTTGGGGGGGNTGTGGGGGGGGGATGAGCTCCCATAGCCAGTGCCGTAACAATTGGGTTTCTTATTTCTAACTATTTTCTCGTTTTCGACTTGAAGAAAGTCAGTCATTCTTAATTTATCAAGAGGGACATCGATCAGAAAGACTATTAGTGGTATGAATAAAGGACGAAAAATGGGCATGTACTGCTTGGAACTTACAACTTAGGACTGCACCAGACTTACGACTAAGGGACTATATAGTGGACAAATATGACTAGTGAATAAATTACAAAAAAGTGCTGTAGAAGAACAGAATTTGTTGGCGCTTCGCGCATATGTTTAATCAATATACTCATGTTGTTCATTTTAAAACAGATGTATACATATTTTTTTAAGCAGAAGAACAAAACATGAATAATTTTAGAATTTGGTATAGTATTAAGCAAAACCCTTCAACAATTAATAAATGCTGTTTTTTACTTAAAATTTTGAAAACAGTGATTTCTTTTTGAAAAAAAATCGACCCTGTACGCCCCTTCCCCCTCATAAAATTGCTAGTTGCGCCACTGCCCATAGCCCACTCCCTAAATTAGCCTCTGAATGAAACATTGTTTTTTTTCTGATGTAGATAAAAAAGTTTTGATAGTTCGTATAACTTATGTCTGTGAAACATGGTTTTATTTCCTAGATGGAGAAGCACATTTTCCGTATCTATGACACAAATAACGACGGGCATATCGACTTTATAGAGTTCATGGTCGTCTTTCACGTTCTCTCAGGTACATTTTTAAACGGTCAAATACTTGGCATAAACTTTTTATTACCATTTTTTGTTTTGATAAGGCTTTATTCCTTTTGTGTAGGGCATAGTTTTCTATAANGTCTTAAATCCGCCAAAACCCGGTTTCGATTGAGCCGCGGCTTACATCTTGAAACATTGAATACAATTTAAAGTGAAACCAACCTTTGAGCCGCGGCTTAAATTTAAACCGTCACTCAAATTTTTAAATTCGGCCTCTGTTTACACCTAATCTTACTTCAAATTAGGTTGGGGAGTAATTCAGTTAAAAAAGTGAGAGGGATACTTATTTTAATGTCTAAGAAGTCACGATGAAGGGTAATATTTTTGTTTGTTTTTAAATGTAACCCCACTAGGACCGCACTAAAGTATTCACCATTGTATAAACTTCTAAGTGTTTCTGTTCCAAGACTTCTGTATTTCAGAGGGTACCCCTGAAGATGTTTTGAGGAAACTGTTCCGTCTTTTTGACGTTAATTGTGACGGGAATATCAGTAAGAAGGAAATGTTGGTAAGCACCAAGCAAATCATTTATTCAACCTGAAAAGAACTGTTGGCGTAATTGCAAGTAATATCTATCTATAGAGTCGCAGGTCCGATTCATAAGTCTTTAATGAGTAAAACAATGAAGCTATCGTTGTTTTTTTACTTTTTAGAAGTTCCTTGACATGTTCAGTTTTGTTTGCATAAATCAGTGTCTGACTGCAAAACTACGATTGAACTAATTAACTTTTAGCTTGAAAACTAGGATAGGTCATTTATCCACGATCAGACAAAGGCATCGAAACAGTTTTGAATTGTACTCTCCACTCTAATTAATGGATCACTTGAAATTACGTGTTCGGTCCCTTTTTTTGTTCTAGAATCTTTTTTCTGTGGTTTAGGGTTGTATGTAAAATGTTGGGTGTTATTGTTATCTATATAATAAAACAAGACACTCGTATATATATATATGCTGCCTATAGCCGGCAAAACGGCTGGACTGTTTGGGTTGACATTTTTTGGACACTCAGGGGTGACCGGGGGGTGTTCTAGGCTAAAAAATTATTATTTTTTTCCAAAAAAAGTTTTCAAATTTTTTCACGAGCAACGCTGGGCTATTCAGCTAGTTATTCATAAACCAATTCAGGAATTCAGTATTGGATTATTTCTAGAGATTAGTGAAGGATCTAATAGTATCTAGTCCTCCTGTATCTAGAGATTAGTGAAGGATCGAATAGTATTTAATCCTCCTGTATCTAGAGATTAGTGAAGGATCTAATAGTATCTAAGCCTCCTGTATCTAGAGACTTGTGAAGGATCTAATAGTATCTTAGCATCCTGTATCTAGAGACTAGTGAAGGATCTAATAGTATTTAATCCTCCTATATCTAGAGACTAGTGAAGATTCTAATATTATTTAATCCTCCTGTATCTACTGATTAGTGAAGGGATCTAATGGTATCTTATCCTCCTGTATCTAGAGATTAGTGAAGGATCTAATAGTATCTTATCCTCCTGTATCTAGTGATTAGTGAAGGGATCTAATAGTATATAATCCTCCTGTAGCTAGAGACTAGTGAAGGATCTAATAGTATCTAATCCTCCTATATCTAGAGACTATTGAAGGATCTAATAGTATTTAATCCTCCTGTATCTAGAGATTAGTGAAGGATCTAATAGTATCTAATCCTCCTGTATCTAGAGATTAGTGAAGGATCTAATAGTATCTAATCCTCCTATATCTAGAGACTAGTGAAGGATCTAATAGTATCTAATCCTCCTGTATCTAGAGATTAGTAAAGGATCTAATAGTATTTAATCCTCCTGTATCTAGAGATTAGTGAAGGATCCAATAGTATCTAATCCTCCTGTATCTAGAGACTAGTGAAGGATCTAATAGTATATAATCCTCCTGTATCTAGAGACTAGTGAAGGATCTAATAGTATTAATCCTCCTGTATCTAGAGATTAGTGAAGGATCTAATAGTATCTTAATCCTCCTGTATCTAGAGACTAGTGAAGGATCTAATAGTATATAATCCTCCTGTATCTAGAGACTAGTGAAGGATCTAATAGTATCTAATCCTCCTGTATCCAGAGACTAGTGAAGGATCTAATAGTATCTAATCCTCCTGTATCTATAGACTAGTGAAGGGATCTAATAGTATCTAATCCTCCTGTATCTAGTGATTAGTGAAGGATCTAATAGTATCTAATCCTCCTGTATCTAGAGACTAGTGAAGGATCTGCATGGTCTAAGTACTGTATCCGAGAGTAGAGAAAGTATTGCTGATTCTGCTTTTGCTGAGATGGATAATGATGGAGACGGAGTTGTTACATGGTGAGTACTAATGATAATGATAAAAAATAATAATGATAATATTAATAATAACTAGATAATCATCATTACGTTAAAATTAAGGCCAAGCCCCCTTCAAAAAGAACCTTATCCCAATTTATGAAGTTCAAATAATATTTTTCATAGTATCGTAGGTTTGATGATATTTCATATTTTCTTTCAAAGAAGGATTGTCTAGTTTATCTATGCAAGATGGACAGTCTAGTTCATCCACGCTTTCAAAAAATTGAGGGTTGTAAATTCAACTCCAAAAATCTCTTTCATTGCTTCTTGTTAAAATGGTTTTGTCACTTCACGTTTCATTTTGACTTAATAGAACATAAATTCCAATAGTTCTTATTAGATTTCACATTATGTAACGTTCCTACTTGTTTGTTTTCATTTGTTTGTTGTACAATAAATGTACATGTTTAATTTTCAGTGATGAGTTTGTGAATGCAGTACTTCAGGAGAAAAAAGTATCTAAAATGCTCACCATGAATGTAATTGATATATTCGTCAGCTGATCAAGAGATTCATATATACTATTGTACATGCCAGCTGATTATATGTCAGCTTATCACTAGATCCAACACTACTGCACATGTCAGCTGATTAAATCAGTATGTACACTGCATAGTCCACACAATGATCAAATCAAGTGCACCGAACAAAAGCATAAAAGTAAAACCATGTAAATGTTTTATTTAGCTAATCACAATCCACAAAATTGTTAAAATTCTTTATTTATGTTAATAAACCATACTCTGTTTCGTAAAGCTTTGATAAAACTATTGTGATGTTTACTAACTGGACATTTAACCGCTTTTTAATTAACCTAAATCTTCCATTAGTTGATTTAATACCAGTCCTTGGTTGTATAACCCAACTTTTGCTTTTTATGATTTATGAACTAATTGTTTTAAAATTTTTGTTAATTATAGTTTTGTAAAGAAATAATATATCTTAACAAAATGTTCACTGTTGAAACTTAAAAGTTTTGTTATGAATGAATACAAACGATTATACTCAAATATTTGCCAGGAAACGAAAAGTACAAGTCTCTATTAGAACTAAACGCACACTCACACTATTCTTGTAAGCTCATGCATGAATTGTGGGCCAAAAACGACATCATTGATATAAACCTTAAAAGACTGTCATTTAAAAAAATATATAACTAATATAATTATATTTAAATTACATTTTTTTATTAACTTTTTTCACGGCGTAAAAAAAAATTATGATTGCTTTTATGATTAAGAACCTGTGATTAAGCAATAAATCTTCACAAAATGCCCTGAAGAAGACATGTAGTTGAATATTTTAATTAAAGACTGCTAATTCCATTAGACTCAAGTAAATCGATTTCACACTTATAATACCTTCTTTATTGAACAATAATATATAACTTATTTCTTCTTTAATAACTGATTTAATGTGATTTAACACAAATTCTATAAACGTATACGTATTACAGTAATTATTTAATTATATATTGGTTTAATTTTATGAAAAATTGAAATGTTTTTAAAAATTTCTGTTAAATCTAACAGACATAAATTTATGAAAGGTAAAAAATCCTAGCAAAATTTAGTTTGTTTTCAGGACAAAATGGCGGAGCCGCTAAACCTAACCGGTTTTGTGGGTTTGGACCCGAACACGTCTGAGATCTGTACTATAGAAGCATCTTGTGTTACGGGATTTGAACCAATGGCACAAGAAGAGATTCAGGTGATTAGTAGGTTTCAAAAAAATCACGAATTAAGTCATTGTTACAACTAGTTATCTTTATTTAACTTTATTAATTAAATGCTTTGCTAGTCAACAAAAGCCATTTCACAGAATGCTTATTTATGCCTGTATTTAATCTATTTTTTATTGCTTTGTTAATTTAATTTATTTTTAGGAAATTTTAGGATCTTCTGGAACAGTGCACAGAGGTCGGGTGGTCTTTGACCTCCCAGTTTCAAGGATCAAGGAGGTTCTGACCCTGAGGACGGTGAACAACCTCTGGGTCATGGTTGGACATACACACAAGGAATATTCAGCTTACAGAATACCTTGTCAACCCCTTATCTCTTATTACTCAAACCATATTTTTTTTCAGTTCCTCTTAATTTTACCTGAATTAATAAAATAAATCATTATGACTTATCTGATTTCTTCAAGATGCATATATATATATATTAAATACAAATTTGCGATTGTAAATGGAAAATTCTAGTTTATCGGACAAGTAGTTCCATTTTTCACCCGTTTTGATACTTCTTAACCTAAATTACCAGGGCTCAAGGGAAATTCACTAGTCAAAGAATAAGTATATGGTGTTAATATCTGATGGTACAGAAGCAGATTCACGTTTAGTTGAAAATATTTCATGTAGGGCCTAAAAATAAAATCAAGTTTTAAAATTGCATAATTGAGTAAGATACAAAGACTCATAAAGTGAAATTCCATGTGTTATTTCTGCAGCTCAAAACCTTGAACTTGACTTCCAAAAATCTTACTCAAATCTGAGAGTTTAAAAGTTACTTAAGTGTATTCTTCTCCTGTTAAGGAAAAGTAAGCTTAAAATAGGTTTTATTTTGATATTATTTGCAGTAAAAGATAAAATATGCAAATAATTTGTAAATTTTGTTGTGTGTGTAAAGAAAAATGCTCAAGATTACTTACTATCTTACTTACTTACTACGAGATTTGAAAAACTTGATTTCCTTTTTAGGCCCAACATGAAATATTTTCAACTCAACGCCAATCTGTTACTTTACCATCACAAAACAACACCATATACTTATTTTATTAGTTTAAGTCTAAGAACCCTGAAGACCCTATATTTGGCTAGTCAAAACTGATTTTCGATATGGGGGAGGGGGTGTGCCCGTTTTAGGAATTTTAGCATTTTCCCTAGAAACAATACCTAGATCCACAGGAATTGTTCAGCTATTAACATGATGGGGCAACATCAATTCTCCATTATAAGTAGATCTTCATGTGCTTCTTTAGATCACTGGTTTCTGGATTCAACCTGAACATCAAGATTTAAGAAAAGATCCGTAGATCTTACAGGGGGTCTCAATATTTTTTCCAGAAAATATATACAGTATATTATACTCAGTACGTAACTATCACTACAAAATTCACCTAAAGAATACTAAAAAATGAAAGACGAGTCAGATTTTAAAATGTTGAATAGTTGGTTTAGTTTGTATACCCGGAGAAAGCAGAGGAGCAATTAATTGCTCTAGCTGACTTTGCTGGAGGTCTAGACTGGAGCAAAGGATTGGATACATGGAGCAAAGCATTTGATTTCAAGGGAAATCTATACCCAACACAAGCTGGAGAAAATACTGAACAGGTCAATACTTAAATAATAGTAATCAAACTTTGTTTCCATATTTCTTATTAAACAGCCCATGATATACGATAAATGTATATGTGTGTGTGTGTGTGTGTGTGTGTGTGTGTGTGTGTGTGTGTATATATACATTATACACACATATATCTGCGGAACTGTCGGGGAGCCTGGATCCCTCGGACCAAGTTGTCTGTAGGGAGAGACATAAAGAACAAAATTGTATTCCATTGTGTTTATTTTGTCTCAAATGTACGTTCTCTTTTAAGCTATTTGAATTGAAAAACAAGCAAATTCATTAGAAATTCGTAAGCAAACAAACTCAACTAAGGAAACAATCACACCACAATCCATATGCATTACCTTCAAATTAAGAACCAATTTTTACTTATAAAATGGGTTTTAACATTTAAACATGAGAAAAATAAAAAAAACAGTGATAGACATAAAAAGAGCATAAAACGTTTTTTTAACCTTTCATAATTTTAATTGTTCCAACTTGAAATAGTCGGATTTCACCAGAATTCATGGAACCTCATAAATATGATATAATAATAATGTTATGAGGAAAAATATGTAATATTGGAAATTCTTAAACGAGATGAAATAATCTTGATGTATTCTTTAACGAAGGCCGCAGAATATTATCATATTATTTATTAAGTATATATGTATATATAAATATATTTCAGTTTTTAAATTTCAAATTTTATTAAAAAAGAATTATACTAAACATAATGTTTCACGCCTCATGACGATACTCAGTAGTCAAAAGTCTTTGAACCATATAAATACACACGATTATATATATATCTATATATGCAAAGCTTATAATAACAAAGTTTTGAACATAATCCAAAGGCATTGAGCTTCCAAGCTAATTTGTTGGGGCCAAAAATTAATAAACAATTACAGATAGAACATTAGATGTCGTCTTTTTAAGATTTAGGGGTTTTTCGTTCACAATAACCCTGAGGTAGAGACCCAATGGAGTTACGCGCATACTGCGAACTATGGAAAGACTTTTGTCTTAGTGTTAAGTTATTGTATTATTGTTCTATCTGTTGTTGTCAATTAATTTATGGTTGGGGAACTTAGTAACTCCTGAATTTCATGATTTGATGTTATGTTCATATTTTAGATAGTTTTCAGCAGAAAACATCAAATATATAAGCTTATTTTCAATGCCTTGTATTTTAGGTCGCAGAATCTGAGAGAATTCCTAGCTTTCGTTGTAGTTGTTACAGGTAAAATATTACATCTCGTTTTCATCTGCACTTCTTAAATGAGTCTCTTAGAATCTATTATTATATATAAATTACTGCCGAAAATCATTCCAAATAAAATCGGAATGAATGAGTGAAAATATGTTAACCATTTAAAATACAGCAAATTGTAATTGCTGGAACTTTTTTAAAAAACTTTATACCAATAGGAAAGGTCGAGGCGGAAAAACCAAGGAACTTGTCAAGGTCTTGAAACTCGATCCTGGAATTTGTAGCTGTTGGCAAATATCCACATTTTTTATTTGATTTATTTTGAACCCAATCGCACAAAAACTAAACATGCATATGTTTAGTTTTTTTCTATGCACAAAAATGCTGTAACACAACCTGGAGCCAGTTTTTGTTCAGATCTGGAACTAACCATGCGTTTAAATCCTCGGACGCTCAAATTACTGTCGGAGGAAGAATCCAAGATAAATTTTTATGGAACGTGAAGATGAAAAACTACGATATTGAGGTGATTTTAGGGGTTTTTTATTATTATTTTGTTTTGATTTCCGTTTTCAAAAGGGATATTTTACTTTTTGTACAGCTAGTAAACATAAGAAGGACACTTTCGAAGATTACTTTTACCTTCACAAAAATGCGCGCATGAAATTACATTTATTTTAGTGGAATGAACTTGTATGACTAATTCAAGAATAGTATCCATTTAATAATAATATTCATACAGGGTGGCCGAAATTACCGAGATGTGCTTCTGTTAGCCCAAAATAAATATTTCAAAAGTGTGTAATTTTAGAAGGGACCATTAAAGAATTTTTTATGGTCTGATGCTTCCGTTTTGCTAAATCTATGTCGATTTTGTCGAATATTCGAAAGCCTCTCTTCTTATTTTGCAGCAAAAATAAAATTTGTTTAAAACTGATGATAGTGAATAATATTTCATAATTTGATTACTTTATAGTTTCGAATTATTTCTCATTTTATTTCCAAAAACGAGCTATAAAAACGTCAATCACGTTTTTTGGGGTCTTCCTGTATGATAATTGAAAAGGTTGTGATGAACTGTGATGTGGATCAAGTATATGTAGGAGTTGCTCTCAACAATTCATCTCTCTTTAATAGGTAGGAACAATCCACGTCTCAAATAAATTGTGGAAAAGTTTTATAAAATAGTTCTGTCAAGAAATGGTCATTATGACGATCTTATACAACCTGATAACGTTATGTTAATTGACTCTTCATTTTAAATATTGCCATAATGCTATGGCAGTAAGGTCTCAAATTGGTGCATATGCCTAAAACAATAAGATACACGCGGCCATTTTTGGTTGAGCTCTTCACAGCAATCAGCATTGGTTCTCTGATAAATGTTGTGAATCGTTAGTGACACTGAAAATCTGAATTATTGAGATTGTAAATTTTATTTATTTTTAAGAACATTATCACATTTTGGACCGACCAGCCTGAGACCAACAATTTGCGCGGCAATGGTGCGCTTAGCAAAGGTAGGCTTTTCACTACATGTATTCTCAATACAGGGTGTCCCACATGGGATCGTACTTAGCTCTAAATTATTATTTATGGGACACAACAACAAAAATTTCTATGGATAATGCAAAAAATGTAGTTAAAAAATTAGAGCTCTCTTCATATTTCTTAACGTATTGGATGTTGTCCAAATGTATAAGCTCATCTTAAGTGTTAATTGTGGCTTTCCGTCGGGGATAGGCTGGACAAAGAACAAAGAAATGGAGGGTTTTAAGGATTCATAAAAGCAAAACAAAAAATTAATGGAATTTAATACATCTTGAATCGGAGTGTATAATTGGCTTGAATCATCGGAGGACAGAAATAAATTTTGTAGAATAAACATTTAGTCAAATAGAAGAAAACTAGTTGAAATAAGTTTTTTTGAAAATAATATTTAAATGTTTCAGGTTAAAGTTGGAGAAATAGTTTTGGATCCCATGTGTGGAGGTGGATCCATACCGTTGGAGGGATCACAGATGGATTCTCATGCATTTTATCTAGGTAGATAATCAAATTGGGGATTAATATATTATGCGTAGGAAGAAAGTGTAATAATCAAAATTATTGTTATAATATTGAAAGAAAAACCGGTATAATACATATTATATCTTAAACCTGGGACTTCAGCTCTACAATAGTTCCTTTCCATCTATATGTTTCAATCTTAGACGTTTCATGAGTGTTAGGGATTGCTTGAGACTTTTTTTAAGCCTCCAGAGATGAGGGGAATCGACGTAGCCCGTTGTGAACAGATATAAAATTATTATTTCTATTTTTAAAAATGTTTAATTTTAGTTTTATTTTATATCTGATTTCTTGCTTTAAATTGTGAATTATTGAACCAATTAAATAATTGAAAATAAATATCGCGGTGGGTTGTTTTTAACCGTTAATGTGGTAATTGACGGATTTGAGGAAAAAATAAATTTAGAAAATTATGTTTAACGTCAACCTATAAATATAATAAGTATCCATTTTAAGTTGAATTTCTCTATGAATTGTACATTTTGTAAGTCTTGTGATAATAGATTTTAAATATATATCTAAGTAAGGGTGAAAAATCTTGAATCATGAAAAAGAAAATCCGCAATCACTTTCCCTCCCTTAAGCGAATTAAAACTATAATACTCTTCTTTTGGAGTAAAAGTTAAGAAACCAGGAACGGGCAATGTAAATAATTTTGCTTAGAATGTGATAAAGAAATTATAGTTGATAAGGGTCAAACTATTATAGAATTGAAACAATTTTATCTTAGACCTATTTCTAAATTTTTTAACCGGTTAATGTTATTATCCAAAATTTACTTTTACCCCAGGTGGAGAAATACACGACAAAGCTATCATGCGTACCCGGAACAACCTGACTGACCTGTGTGCGCGGATGGATCTGAAGCATGGAACTAAAATGGATTGCTTGCAGTGGAGCGCGTTGAACCCCTGCCTCCGGGATAACTCCGTCGATGTGATCATTACTGACCTCCCGTTCGGGAAACGGAGCGGGTCAAAGGCAGACAACAGGGTTCTCTATCCGCAAACATTAAAAGGAAACAAACATTATATTTAGCGATTGTAAAAAATTTCCTAAAATTTTAGTAATAATTTAGAACGAGAGATATATATGATATGTGGCAAAGTCATGACTCGTAAAGGAATTGAGGCTTTGTCGCAAACTCTCATTTTCCAATCCCAATGTCTTTGCACCTAGTGCTGTAGACCTTAGATAAGTTAAACTATGAATTCCGAGCTGTAAACTTTAGAATGGTGGATATCGATATTAATACTTGATCCTCTCTTTTTCATAATATCGAGACTAATCTAATCTTGTACTGGTATCTTGGAAAGTGTATAAAATTCAACCTATCAGAGTCGCGTATTTATCGGGATTAAGAATATCTCATTCTAAAGTTTTCAGCTCTGTTAAATCAAATAAGCTAAGTTTAAAATATCTAAGGGTTTCACCATCGGATTGCAAAGATATAGGGAATACACTATTTGAGTTTGTGGCAAAAACTCAATTCCTTTATACAAAACAGTTAAAACGAAAATGGCCGAAATATGTAGTTTCCAACTTCACCCTTTACGTTCATTGTACTTTTTATTAAAGTATCAATTTCTTTATACATATTTGAATAATAATGTTGGTTTACTGCAGCTATGGCTCGTATAGTTAGACCAGAAACTGGCAGAGCTGTTCTACTCACACAGGTTTATTATTATTATCTTATTATAAAGATTTATGAAAAAAATAAACATTAATGTATATAACAAAAGAGTCTGTAAAATTAGACCCCATACGCTCCTGAGCTTTTAAAAATTTATTTTATCCATCTTGAATGCTCTACAAAAATTCCATTGATATTTACTCTTGTCAGTCATCAAATTTTTGCAATTGAACCTTAAAGACCAAAGCAAAGGGACTACCATACGGGTTTACACATCTTAATATTTCTAAGAACGAAAAACTAAGTACGACTGACTACTCTTTACGTACATCCAGAGAGAGAGGTGCTCCTAAAACCGATGAGACTGCGTGCTGGACAGGCTGCACACCAAACAAATAAACGCGTAGTCCAGTCTGGAGTTAGAAGCACCCCCCCCCCCGGCGAAGTACTTACCCTTGACCGCTTGAGATCGACAATTACTCCACTTCTACCTTCTTATCACAAAACTGATCTTAAACAAGCGAGAAATCAAATTTAAGCCCCTAGACATGTGACTTCTGTCGGGCCGAAAAAAAAACTGAACTCGGGAAAGAAACGCGGCAAAACAGCCAGACTGATTTTTGTCGTCTTTTCTTGAAGCTCAGACCCACTTTTGTCCCTTGTCGCATTTCGCCATGCCTTTCCACCGAAATCGTCATATTTTTCGATCGATTTGTTTTTCTTTTTAAAACTCACTCAATACTCATCCATGTTTTATTATTATCTTTTAGGACAAAACCTCGATGTTTAAGACGATGGGTTCTGTCTCCAAGTACTGGAAACTTCAGAAGAATTTCTCCTGTAATATCGGAGGATTAACCGCTCTAATATTCATGTTTCAACGAACTATGGAGTCGCCGTAGCAATCCTTAGTATAATAATTATGATATGAATTTTAACATTAACTTAAAATGGCGGTCATGGTGCCTAAATTTTAAGAACATGAAGCGCGCTTATGTGTTATGCCCCGCAACATTTTGAACGGTTTTTCATATTTTCAGGTTTAAATTTGCAACAAAATGGGAAGCGGTGTCAGATTCGGTAAAGGAAAGAAGGTCAGCAAGAGACAGTCGACGAAGGTGCGCTGCAAAGTGGAGAAGAAGGTGCGTGAGCATGGGCGAAAGCTCAGGAAGGAGATGAAGAAAAATCCGGGAAAATTCAAGAAATCCAAAAAAGATCCCGGGGTTCCAGGGGATTGTCCTTTTAAAGACCAGGCACGTTTGAATCCCTTTCAACATGATATTAAAGTTTTAAATTTTGTTCAGTTTGAACTTGCATATTTGATAATTAATTAATTAAACTTTTTTAATAGGTTTTAGCTGAAGCAAAAGCTATGGTTGAGAAGAGAAACGAAGAGAAGGAAAGAAGAAGAATTGAAATGAAGGAATTAAAGAAACAGAGTAAACTGAATCAGATGGAACAACTGAAAGGAAAAACATTAGAGGTATAAAAATGAAAAGATGTTAATTTTTGTGGTCATTTGCTTCTACAGAGAAACAGGGGGCTGAACAGAACGTACAGGGTGCCTCACATCATTTCGGATCGTTTATAGCCAGGTGTATATTAGTTGTGAGACTCATATTTTTACCCCAAATCCACAACTTAAAAAACAGGTTTCTTAAGTCCTCGCCAACTTCTAAGATGTTTGCTGCGGCAGTGGGGGGGGGGGGAGGGAAGAATTTTTGGGATTTTAGCAGTAAAATGGAGCGTTGTGGTTCCCTAAATAGGTTAACTTCAATTTTTTTAAGCATTTCTGATACTGTTTTTTTATTGCTTTTTTTATGATTTTTTACTTTCCTTCTTTCTCCTTCCCTTCCCATCCCCATTTCCCTTCCCTCTTGCTTCTTTTCCCGTCCCTTTTACCCCTTTTACCTTCCCTCTTCCCCTTTTCCCCGTAGAGGGGGCAAACAGAAAATTATACACCTGTATATGGCTCTAGATTACGATTTTCGCGATTAATTTTTAAACGTAAATTTAAAAAGAATAATACATTTTAAAAAATTGTAGTAAGCCTAATATCAAACATTGCATGCAAAAATTACTAGATTTTTCGAGTATTTTGTGCGTATTTCAGCGTTAAATCTAGGAGATAATCCAATATGAAATGGAACCCTCTGTAGATTATTAAAAACGAAATTTTATATTTTGACAATTATGTCTATGCGTAACTGGCATTATACTTAAACCCAATTGCTTCTGAGAAAGGATTAGAAACTATATTTGAGTCATTTATTCTAGTAGTTAATGTGAAATCACAAGTAATTAATCAAATACGACTGAAACACTGAGATTGATTTTATTGGCAGATTTTAAAATCAAATAATAAATTTGAGAAGGGGGTTGAACTAAACGACCAATTTTCTTGTAGAGTTTAGTAGCTGGTGCTAGGCAGAAGACAGCTATGTATGAGAAGGGTCAAGGAGTACAAACTGCAGCCGTAGATAAGGGATTAACTGATAGGTCAGTTTTTAAGTTTTAATAATTACTATTATTATTACCGATCAACATACAGACAAAGTATTATGACCTGTAAGTTGTAATTCAAAGAAAAGTAGGATTGAGATCCGTCACTTGCCCTGGTCTATATGGGATTTTTTTTATAGTATGGAGGGGTTTTTAATGTATATGTTTGATTAGTTTTATTATTTACATGGATTTCAGAATTAATTTTCGAAGCTTATATTTTTTTTAATCTGTCTATTTTCTGATATTTTCTGAATTCAATTTCTTTGTTCTAACAATTCACTTCCTTTGACCAAAAACCCTTCAAAAAGGGATATTTAAGGGATATTTATATCAATTGGGGGAAAAAATTAAAATAGTTCTCAGGATGTGGGGGGGGGGGAGATATGAAAAATCATATACCTCTGACTTTATAAATCTAAACAATTACAATTCGGAACTTTTGATGTCTAGATCTGCCAAAGCTTACTACAAGGAGTTCCGTAAAGTAGTTGAAGCTGCTGATGTTGTTCTAGAAGTTCTAGATGCTAGAGATCCTCTAGGTTCAAGGTAAATAGCATTAATAATATACTAGTGTTGCATAATTCATATAAATAAACTAGGTATCATTCTTGATGAAATCTAAGCTTTTTGTTGCTGGTCTTTCTATAAACTTTTCGAATATTTGGAAATAATTGCAATGCAAATTTTCACAGTTTTTTCTGTTTTCATTGGGCAGTTTCTAAATTCATCTTCCTTTTGTGTCATGTGAATTGTGAGTTACCACAAATAAATTGGGTTTGATCAGTTTAATTGTTCTGATGTTTATCATGGATACATATTACATACAAACAAACAAGCAGTCATGTTGAATGTATATTTTGAAATACGTATGCATGTCTACGGTTTATGGAGAGAGAGGGGGGTATTTTAGGACTTGAAAACGTCTTAAACCTTTTATAGTTTAGTCTGATCTGAAAGTGGGCAGTATCTTATTCTTATAAGCAGTATCTTTTTAATCTTACTCAACAAATTATAGTTGGGGTAAAAATTCGTAGGGTAAACCAACCCGGATTTTTTCCTTTTTCCAGTTCAACCGATTGACGGGTTTTCATTCTTAAAATAAATAATTTCCTTGTAGATGTCGTGAGGTGGAGCAAGCTGTTGTAGCTGGAGGAAAGGGAGGGAAACGACTAGTTCTTGTTCTAAACAAAGCTGATCTTATCCCGAGAGAAAACCTTCAAGCTTGGATTAAATATCTCAGGAAAGAAAGCCTGTTAGTCTGTCATTCTGTATTTGTTTCAAATATTTTATCAATTTTTTCTATTTGTCGACAGAAGTTAACATTTTAAAATCATCCAATACTCCCTCATAGGTTCCGAAACTTCGGAGGGAACATTTTTCCCTAATTTTTTACCTTTTTGAACTTTTTAATTAGTTTTATTTATAAGTTTGGACTTTTTAAAAAAAACATCACTTTCGTTGATTCATTCTGGCTGAACATTCTATTTTTAGATTTTTCTACGTCATTCATTTCGGTAAAGTTGATAAACTTCTTATCTGTATACCAATCCTGTATATTTTTGATTTCAAAAATAAATGGTTTGTTGAAGGTTTTCTTTCTAACAGAAACGAATATCCTACAATTGCGTTTAAAGCTAGTACACAACAAACTGCTAAACTTGGACAAGCAAAAATAAATATGAAGGTAAGGGGAAAATAAAACTAGATTTAAAAGGGACTGTATGCGTAATTTCAAGGGACCCTCCATGCAAAGATGGCAATGCCCAATTCACAGCGGTATTTTCTAAGCTTTGTCTGATCATGAGTGAATTAGATATTAATGTTTGTAATGTTTAAAACTGATAGATTTCAATTGTGGTTTCTCGACAGAAGTGGCTTCCGCATTTCTACTGCAGGAAAAATATTGAAATTATCAGAATTTAACACTTTTAAACATAGGAAAACGACATTTTTTCCACACTACTGATCAGGTAACGGTTTCCAAGTTACCGTTGTGAATCGGGAAGCGCTTTATTTGTATCGTGTGTTTTTTTGTACAACAATTCTTCTTTGGAAAGTCCAACTATGTTTTTGAGTTTTGAGTGGGATTACAATTTCAAATAATTAAAATGACGCAAATTAAAAAAAATACTAATTGCTTTTTTTGTTTAGCATATTGACCAGCAGATAAGCACATCTAAGTGTGTTGGTGCGGATACCCTGCTGGCCCTGTTGGGGAACTACTGCAGGAACCGGGATATCAAGACCAGTATCAGGGTCGGGGTGGTCGGGATGCCTAATGTTGGAAAAAGTTCACTCATCAATAGTTTAAAAAGATCCAGAGCTTGCAATGTTGGAGCTACTCCAGGTAAACTCATCAAGTAGTGTATATTTTAGGAGAGTAAATCCTCATTTAACAGATGGATCTATTCAGTACCGATATTTTACTAGTTTTTTGGTTAGTTTAAAAAATCACAGTTTTTGTGGGATTCTAATATACATAACTAAAAATCTATCTTGTACATTAAAAAATTGTATATATTGATTTATAAACCCAAAGCAATTTTTTAATTTTACCGAAAGATCAATACAAAAAATTATTCACGAAATCGTTAATCGTTTTTCTTTTCTTGTTTTTGCCTTGTATCTTCTGCCATCTTAAAAAAAAAAATTGAAATTTTCATTAAATAACCTATGACAATCTTTGAATTTAATTCAATATATCTCTGTGTAGAAGTAACTTAATGTGTCCCTTTATAGGAGTAACTAAATAAAACTCTGTACAGGAGTAACTAAATATATCCCTGTATATAAGAGTAACTAAGTATATCTCTGCACAGGAGTAACTAAATATATCCCTGTACAGGAGTAACTAAATATATCCCTGTATAGGAGTAACTAAATATATCTCTGTACAGGAGTAACTAAGTTTATCCCTGTATATAGGAGTAACTAAGTATATCTCTGTACAGGAGTAACTAAATATATCCCTGTGTAGGAGTAAATAAATAAATCTCTGTACAGGAGTAACTAAATATATCCCTGTACAGGAGTAACTAAATATATCCCTGTACAGGAGTAACTAAATATATCCCTGTAGAGGAGTAACTAAATATATCCCTGTATAGGAATAACTAAATATATCTCTGTACAGGAATAACTAAAAATATCCCTGTATAGAGGAGTAACTAATTATATCCCTGTATAGGAATAACTGAAAATATCCCTGTATATAGGAATAACTAAATATATATCTGCACAGGAGTAACGAAATATATCTCTGTACAGGAGTAACTAAATATATCCCTGTAAAGAGGAATAACTAAATATATCTCTGTATAGGAGTAACTAAATATAAATATATCTCTGTACAGGAATAACTAAATATATCTCTGTATAGGAGTAACTTAATATATCTCTGTATAGGAGTAACTAAATATATCCCTGTATAGGAGTAAATAAATATATCCCTGTATAGGAGTAAATAAATATATCTCTGTATATGAGTAACTAAATATATCCCTGTATAGGAGTAACTAAGTCGATGCAGGAGGTTCAACTGGACAGCAAGGTTAAACTATTGGATAGTCCTGGTCTAGTGATGGCGGGAGGAAACAGGAATGATGCTAGCGTAGCACTCAGGAATGCTGTCAAGGTACAGTTTTCAGATTCTTCAGCTTTAAGTGAGTTTTACTCGTAATAGATAACTAATAATTTATATTTCCTTTGTAATAGTCGTCATTTAATGAGAAATTCAGTTTACTCCGCATATCGCCGTTTTGAATCCTTCCTTAAAGGGAGTGACCGGCTATGTAAGGTAGTTGAACTGAGTACGCTGTGTTGTCGAAAACTTCTTTCGGATTCATTTGAGACATATTACACTTTTTAAAGATAGGTAAATCCTGAGTTTGAGCGCAAAGCCGACGTTCAAAACTCCTACTTCAGGGGTGGATACGCTTTCAGAATGAGTTTTTTTTTAAATTATTAATTAACGGCGACAAAATGTATAATAAAATACAGGCATGTTGTTTCGGAACATGTTAAAAAAATAGGAGCAATTACGTTTTAATTTACCCTCATTTCATAAAAGTTTGTTTTTATGAATCCTGAATTTGAAATTACATATATGAAGACGACAATTTGATCAATCAATTAATCATGTTTAAAATTATTTTTTCCAAGGAAAGAAATTCCTTTTAATTTAAAGTATAATATTTTATATAATTACCTATTACAGAAATAATTTCTGCATTATAAATTTATTTTATATTTATAGGTCCGAGGAATCTGAAACGTTTTTATGTAGAATCGACCAGCTGATTTAGTTAACGCAAACATTCTATGGTTTCTACACTAGTATAGCGACTTAGCGAGTATAGCTTACAGAATTTTTCGTGATCATTATATACATGACCGCGTTTGCAATTCACATGGACACAATGAATTTTTAACTACTCAATTTCGCCGAAAGTTGCTCTAATCGTTTTGACTTTAAAACATAAAAGTTCCACAATCACTGTGTGGGGGTGCGCGACGCGATCCATCAAGTATTTTGGAAGTTATGGTCAATAAACTGATTTATTTTTATTAATTTGACGATTTTCAGGACCTTTTTAGTTTAGTTTTTAGTTATAGAAATATAAGATAGATGACATAATTTTGTAAAACCTTGTTTTTAATACATTGAATGAAACCCATAGAACTGTGAAATAGAAAGACGACTTTAAGACACAAGTCATGATTTTTAATTGTCCAATGCACATAAAGCACAGACAGAAATTGTTCAGTGTGCACATATGCATTTCACTTGTTAAGTTGAATTTCATGCTACAAATAAACTATTTGCTTTAAAACATGGACTACACATAATGTTGGTTAAATGTTGACTTCCTGTGCTACAGTTTTAAGGGTTTCTCTCAATGTTATAGGTTGGGTGAAACTATCTTTAATCTCTGTGACAGAACAAATATTTGGAAAGTATAGGGTAAACCACAAAAAATGAGACTTAAAAGACGACTGTATGGAATTTCAGTCATTTTTCTTACATTTATGGTAACCTTTTGCTTTTTTTATGTCAAATCATTTACTAAACGTATTGAAGAAGATGGGTGATGAAGTTCAATTCTCAGAGCTTCAGAAATTATGAGTGTCATGTCATTCTGTATGACTCAGTAAGAGATTACTACTAAAATTACTTCAAATAGATTAGTTGGCTTAATCTTATCTTGAAATATTAGCATTTAATATTTTCAATTTTTAAAAAAAGATTTCATGAACAATAAGTAGTGGTTGTAGTTTTTTCATATATGACATGATATGTATACCCTATTTCTCAATTACTAGAATTGCCTAGAAAGGATGCGACTTAAATGAAGGGCTGATCATAAAATTTGAAGGTTAAAATTTGTGTTCTGTTTTAGTTTTTGAATACAGATATATAGATTTTGGCAAAGAAAACATTTAGTTTAAATTTTAAGGGAACCATGAAAATTTAAGAAAAAGTATGGGAAAATTCCACACAGTCGTCTCTTAACTTATAAAGTTTCATTATTAGTTGGCCAGCCTAATAATCTTGTCTTCTCCGCCAGCTTTATAATATACAACAATAACATTAACCATACCTATGAAAAAAAAATAATTTCTCAAGAAAATATACACCCCTTGTGTGACATTTTTTGGGTTGCTTTTTATTTCCAAAGCATACTGTTCCACTGAGACTCATAATTTTGCATCATCTTTGAAATACCTGAATAATGTATATACATCAATACTCACAAACCTGTTAAATATAAAGACGCCATTTAAGCACTCTTAAAGTGTGTTTGACGTTGTTATAAAGCTAAAAATGAACCAGTAATTCTTTACAGTGGGCAAGAAGAACAGGTTTGGAAAGTAGAACCGGGAACACCAGACCTAGGTTAGTACCTAGGTTAGGAGTAGACATACAGGTTAAAGATAGAAACCTTGTCAAGGCAAGAGAGGAGTGTATGATAGGCACGGCGCAAAAGTAAGCTTACAGCATCATGGGCATCATAAGAGCTGGACTAGACCACATGTTGGACTATCTGCTGAGGCACAGTCTTCTTAAATATTCCCAACATGGATTCATGCTTACATGTGCTACCAACCTCCTTGAGTTTCCTGGAAAAATCACTGAATTCTTTGATAATGGCACTTCTGGTAGACATTCTGTATCTTGATTTCAGCAAGGCTTTTGATAAAGTTCCGCACAAGAGATTACTGGCCAAAATGAAATCATTAGGCATCAGAGGTGATTTATTAAAGTGGACAGATTCTTGGTTGACTGGCTGAAAGCAGAGAACTGTCCTGAATGGGTGTTGCTCAGATATACCACCATCAAATTATTTACGTACGATAAGTTTGTGAGTTGGATCCTCAGTTTGTGTGTTTATAATTTCCATTAGGGTTGATGCAATTTCTTCTTTATATACTTCTTAAAAAATTATTTTCCTTTAATGATACGTTTTTTGTTGGAAAATATATATAACGTTAAAGGTTTAAAAAGCAAACATAAACTTACAGCGGTAACCTGATAACTATGAAAAAGGAAGACAACAATATAGCAATACTTAAGTATTTTCAATACTAGGCTGCGCCCATCTTCTATTTCAACTTTTAATTGTGGCTTTATCTCTGAACATCTTCTCTTTGTACAGTATAAAACAAAAACAAAAAAAGTTTGCGGATTTCATAATATTTTTTTGCGCATTTTCAAAATTTTTCAAAAATAAAAAACTTTTAAACACAAATTTTTTAAATTTTGATTATTCATAAACCTTCCCTGGGGTCATGTGAGGTCCCACAAAAAATTTGGGCCCAATCGGTTCAGCCGTTTTGACGTTTATTGGATACAAACAAACAGACAAAAAGACAGACAAGCCAAATTTATACATAGATTGTTACAACGCAAATATTTTTAATTATTTGATCCATGATTTAGTGAAATGGCTCAAACTTAGTGTATCATGACTTACTGTAGGTCGGTTGATACTCAGTTTGTGGAGTCCAGACCTTTTGTAGGTCGGATAAACTGCAATTGTAGTTCATATGAACAACCTTAGTAACAAGTCCAGCCTTAAAAATGTGTGTATCCGACCTATAAAAAGTTATGCATATGACCTACAAAAGATGTGCATTCAACCAACAAATTTGTGTGTAACTGGACATAGGCGGTTTCAGGATTTATGACAGGGGGGGGGGGGGAAAAAAAAAAAATTCAGAAAAAGGCCAAAAAAAAAATCCCCCCCCCCCCCCCTGCAACCCCTCTTATATTGATTTTACCCCTCCCTGTAATTTTCTCAAACAAAGTAAAAGCTTAAAAGTTCTATTTACCCTGCTTACCCTACTAAAATTACAGTTTCTTTTACCTTTTATTGCAGGGTAAGAAAAATGCCTTTATAATCCATTTATTTATCTAACAAAAATTTATAAATTGCTGAACTTTATAATGGCACACTGCATATTTACATGCATACATTTTACATAAACTCTTTTTCTGTGAGAGTGATAAACCCATGGAACAGTTTGCCAGACTTTATAAAGGAGTCTAAATCTTTAAACATATTTAAACATATTTTATGGAGGAGGGACTTAATATGTAGAAACATGATAATTGATATCTTTCTTAAAATTTATTTTCATAATGTTGTCACTTTCAAATTAACTTTATTATTTATATAAATGTAAATAATACATTTACGAACCATTTTGATTTATTTATTCCATGGTTTTGGAAAATTTGTGGCGCTACCCGGATCCATATCAACGTTTCCTGATACGGATCCGGATCCGACCAAATGATACGGATCCGACCGGATCCGGATCCGGAACCGAAACACTGATTTTTTTATTCCTAAAAATCTCTTAAATCCTGGATCCGCCCCTGCTAGATCTTAAGTGTTTATATAAATTACAAAACATAGTGGTCCCAGGACACTCCCTTGTGGCACACCGGATCAAACAGGTTTCCAGCCTGATGATCTACTGTTGTAAATGACTCTTTGGGATCTATCTGTTAGCTAGGAAATAATCCATTGCAATATTTTTCCTCTGATTCCATGAGCTTTTAGTACTTGTGCAAGTTTTCTGTGGGACACCTTGTCAAAGGCTTTAGCAAAATCCAAGTATATAACATCGACTGAATCACCTAAATCCGTGTTATTTTGTACCGTCTCAAGATATTCTAGTAGGTTTGTTAAACAAGATTTTTTCTTCATAAATCCATGCTGTGTACTGTGGATGAGGTTATTTTTATCTAGGTGGTCAACAATATGTTCTTTTAGTAATGACTCCATCACTTTACATATTACAGATGTCAGAAATTTAGGTCTGTAGTTTCCAACCTCAAATCTAGACACTTTCTTAAAAACTGGAACAATTTTTGCTTTTTTCCAATCATTAGGAAGAGTACCAGTATCTAGTGATTTCTGGAAAATCAAGTGTAGAGCAGCAATTTCATCACTAGCTAGAATTAGAATTTTCGTACTAATGTTGTCAGGACCAGAGGAAGAGAAGGGTTTGAGAGACTTTAGTTTCTTCTTGATATCATCCTCTGTAATTGTAACATCCTCAATCTTCTGTTCAGTTAGGTCTTCAATGTTGTTATTGGTGTCTGAGACCTCATCCTTTGAAAATACAGAGCGGAAGAAATCCCCCTTTTTGTTACAAATTTCTCCACAATCAGTAACTAGTTCCCCATCATGCTTCAATGGTCCAACTGCTACTCTGTTTGATCTTTTGGAATTTATATAATTATAAAACACCTTGGGTTTTTTTAGTTTCCTTAGTAAGCTTTCTTTCATAGTTCTTTTTTGTGTTTCTAATCTGGTTTTCACTAGTCTTTCTATATTTTCAAAATCAGTCTTGTTCTCAAGGCTTCCATATTTATTAAATTTCTTCCAAATTCTTCTTTTTTTTCTGATGAGCAAAGGCTTATTCATCCAGGGAGGTTGATTATTAGTGTTGTTTGTCTTCTGAGGGACAAATTTTTCAGTACATTCATCAAGTTTATTCTTGAATTGTTCCCATGACTCTTCAACCCCTAGGTTTAGTAATTCTTCTTGCCAGTTTATGTTACCTAGATACTCTTTACAACTTGCCACATCATCATTTTTCCATCAATATAAGGACTACATGTGATCTTTTCAGGAAATTCACCTCTGATGTGTGTTATGATCATTCTGTGGTCACTTTGACCAAGTTTACCAATATTCTCACAGTTTAGGACAATTGCTCCATATTCTAGAACCAGATCCAATGTTTTTCCAGAGTTATGAGTAGGAAAATCAATATATTGTTTTAAAAACTTGTCCTCTACCAGATCTAAAAAGTCACATAGATGTAGCAGATCTTGTGTTCCAATTAATGTCAGAGTAGTTAAAATCTCCCATAAGGATAAATGGATAAGGTAGGTTTTTTATTGCTTTTATAAGTATTTGATTGTTTTCGGCAACATCTTCTCCATTATAAAGATTGTGAGGTCTATAGATTAATATTAGATAAATATATGAGTGAGATGAATACCTAAACTTGATTTCACAGCACTGGTTAAAATTGTTCATATATTCTCCTTCAAACTCACATGCTCCAAGATTGGACTTTGCATACAATAAAAGACCTCCTCCTATCCTTCTTTTAGTTTCCTGACGGTCCTTTCTACGTATTATATCATAATTGTTTATACCTAAGTAAGCTCCTGTGTGTTCTGCATTTGTCAAGTTTTCACTCACACAGATAATATCAGGTTGACTGTCAAAGGCTAATATATTTATTTCCTTGATTTTTCTTGATTAAACTTTGAGCGTTGGTGTATAAAATCTTCATAGCTCCACAGTGTGGTGAATTGTCTTGATGATCAGCTTTATCTAATCCTCCGTCCCCTCCCTGTCTACTTCCGATGTTCTGTTCTCTGCAAGGATTGAGTTCATTCTTTTCCTTGGTTCCCCTCTGCTGGGACTGGGGGGACCCTTCCTTTTCTGGTAGTTTGATGTTTGTTGGCTGGAGTTGTTTTTTATCTTGACTTTTATCATTCGCTTCTCTCCCTTCCTTCCAACTAGTTGATACTTGGAAGTTTAAAGTTTACATCCTGCTCACTAAGTTGATCATTATCTTCTCAACTTCTTTAATCATTTCATCTTCATCTTTGCGCTGCTCTTAAGTGAGATCTGGAACTAAGCCCACATTTGCAAATTTCTTGCTTTTCCTGTAGATTTCTTGCTTTGGAGAGTACAGAGTTTCTGTGATGCTCACTGAGAAAGCCCACTAGAAGTGGTCTTCCTGAGTTTTTTTAGTCCCCTAACTTTGATATGAACTTCACATCATTGATTGTTATATTAGACTCTAGGTCTTGCAGGACATGTTCCAGATTTGCCATATCTTTTTCTTTTCTTTCAAGACCTGATTTAATAGGTTCTGGAGCTTCAGGAAGCTGGTGGATCACAAGATTTTTCTTGCTCTTCTCCTGATCTTTAAGCTCAGCTCTCATGGCTTTTCTGGCCTCTGAATATGAACTTTTCATATCATCCTTGAGTTTATCCACATCTGAGCTGGCAGCTTTAAGATTAACCTTGATATTCTCTCTATCCTCTCTGATACTAGGTCCTAGTCTAGCTGTCTGTCTGCAACTTCAATCTCCTCCTCAGTCTAAGTAAAGAAAAGCAGCAGAAGTTTGGTCTAGAATTAAAAACCAGTACTTGTACTGGAAAGTGAGCTTAAAATCAAGTACACTGGATGTAATTTTCTTAGTTTACTTAAGACATGTCTATTCTCACTATTTTAATATATTAAAGGACTAAAGATCAAAAGGACACATATGGTGTATTGTGCTTAAATTTACTCAATAAAATAAGTACACTTAGGACTTCTTATCCGTGTACTTTGAATATCAATCTTCACTGAAAGTGTTCAAATTTCACTTATGGAACTGCAGTTTACTAGAGTTCACCAAACAATTTGGTTTAGTTTTCAACTCCAAATAGTTCAATGTTCAGTACAAAACAGATCAGGTCAGTTTGCAATATCAAACAGTTTAGTTCTGTTTTCAATACCAGACAGTCAAGATCAATTTTCAATCTTATTCCATTTTATCCGTTCTTACAAAGCACTTCTAAACAGAACTCGCTTTTTTGGCCTCCTTGAAGTCTTAAAGACAACTCGGCATTTGAAAGACCTCCCTCTTGTAGAAGTGAATCAAGCAAACCAAGCTTGGTCGTTTTAGATAAATATTTATTTTTCTTTATTTTAGAGTTATATGGTTTAAGACAAATTTTGGGCTGAGCGCTACGGCTTTGACTGTAGGCCATGCTAGGGGGCCGGCGCTGCGGCCACAGGACCAATTAAATTTTTGGAATTTTGATTTTTACAATAATTGTGTATTTTGTAGAGTTTCGAACGTTAAGCCAGCATTTCGGTTTTACTAAGTTGTCCTGAAAATTAATTTAATAAAAATAAATCATTTTTTTGTCCATATCTTCCAAAATACTTGTCGGATCGCGTCGCGCACCCCCACACAGTGATTGTCGTGTCCGTCCGGAACTTCTATGTTATAAAGTCAAAATGATTAGAGCAAATTTCATTTTTCGGCGAAATTGAGTCGAAAAAATCCAGTGTATCAATATACATTATACAACCCTGAATATCATACATGTTTTCAACATGCATGAAAAAACCACAATGAAATATTCACGTACGTTTATGCAAGGGTGGAATGCTTTATTCCCAAACACTAAAATACAAACTCAAAACTATATACCTTAGTTGATTTAAACTTTTGCGCTATCCCGACAAACCAAATTTCGTTTCTAGAACGTTTCAGAAACGTTATGTAAGGTAGCGTTACGTTATGGTTTCGTTTTCCTGATACGCAAATGCTACGTAAAACGAACCACTTTTTACGTTACTGAAACGTTTTCCAGTATCATTTCCCAGAAACGTTTAAGATCGTAAAAAATTCGAACTGTTAAAGATTTAGTTACGTAAAACAAGAATAAAAAACCTTTCAAATTTTGTTTAAAAATGTTCAAATGCATAAAAAATCTGAAGAAAAAAATCTTATATACGTATATACTTAGTACTTACCTTAATATTCTATATAGAACTATAAATATATCTTACTAGTATAGAGAACACTAAATCCTTATCCTAAATCTGTAGAGAACAGTATATACTTACCATTTCTTTGTTTTTCATATTTAAGAGAACACATACATACAGTGTAATGTTATGTACTGTAGAAAAGAATAAGATTAAAAATATACAGTAAATAAAATTCATTGAAAATACTCCACTATTAAATAACATACAGTATCATGGATAACTAGCATTTTATATTAAAGGAATTGAGTCTTTGCCACAAACTCTAATTTTCTAATCACTATATCTTTGGAACCAAATGTTGTAGACCTTAGATATTTCAAACTATGAATTCTTTTAAATCAAATAATCTGAGTTTGAAATATCAAAGGTTTACAAGATCGGGTTCAAAAATAAACAGCAAATATAAAAAATCACAAAATACTAATACATTCAAAACTAAACAGAAACAGAAACGGTACAGAAACGAAACAGAAAACGAAATTTCGCAAGAAACGTATTATGGTTTGTGGGTAGTGAGCAGAGCAGTTGAAAATAATGCCGCACACCATTAAACCTTTCCCAAAAAACCGCCCAAAAAAACCTCGAAATCACGCGTAAAATAAATTAAAATTAAATATATTTTATTTATTTTAATTATGACAATTAATTTTTATTTGTTTAACATGTTCCGAAACAACATGTCTGTATTTCATATTTTATGTCGTCGTTGATTAATAATTTAAAAAAACTTATTCTGAAAGCGTATCCACCCTCAAAGTAGGAATTTTGAACATCGAATTTTCGCTTAAACTCAGGATTTACCGATCTTTAAAAATTGTAATATGTCTCAAATGAATCCGAAAGAAGTTTTCTATAACACTGCATACTCTGTTCAACTACCTTACATAGCCGGTCACTCCATTTTATCTTTAAATTAGAATCGGTAATTTTAACCGGCAGTATAGGTGGTTTAGCAGCGTAGCTCAAATTCATTAAATTAGATCCCTGGTAAAACGTATTTGAAATGATATTGTAATAATTTATTAAAATTTACTTATGTAGGTTGAGAATATTGATGATCCTGTAACTCCTGTTCTAGCAATTCTTGCCAGAGTTCCAAGAAACCATCTCATGCTCCAGTACGGGATCGGACATTTTAAGGTAAACCTTATCTAAAAATGTATACCCCTGGATTTTGTCCAATTTGAAGCTGAAAGTAATCTTCTTATTATGATCTGAGCTGGAAACTCTTGTACTGATACCCTTAATCCCGCTCGCTTAATCTCGATATTCACTTCTGATTTTCTTAATCCTCTCTTTTGGATATCCATGCTGGGTTCCGACTATACTATATATGGTAAAATGTTAGACACTATCAAATTAAAGATTGAATAATTTGTAGATTAACGAAAGAGGAGTTCAGGGATATCCGCATCACAAGTTTTAGCTGTCAAAAATCTGTTCCTATTTTTATTCATTAATTATATTGTGTATGTCAGGATTGTTCCGAGTTCCTTGCCCTGATGGCCTCTCAGATGGGTAAACTCAAGCGTGGTGGTATTCCAGACAGAGAAAAGGCGGCTAGAATACTTCTTGGAGACTGGAACTCAGGGAAGATCAAGTACTTTACTCACCCTCCTGAGCAGGCGGAGACCAACATGGCGGCTGAGATTGTTTCTCAATTTGCGGCGGAGTTTAGTTTGGATAAAGTTGATCAGACAGAGGAGATGGATACTTTACCTATTATTAAACCAAGTGACATTGTTCAGGTGAATACTTTTGAATGTACACAGTCTATTGTCTCTATTTTTGAGCTAATAACTTTTTAATGGAGAAAACGAGATTACCTTTTTCTTTTCTTTTTTTGGGGGGGGGGGGTCCACGTTTGTGACTATGACACATGATTATAGCACATTGAATTAGGACCTTGCAGCTTATAGCTTCATCTGAATTAACAGGATCTTTCTACTTTTTGTGACAGCGTATATATCTAGGTTGAATCCAGCAGTATCCTCGAGACTGCAGGAGAAGGGGAGGATGAGGAGGAGGATGAGATGGATGAGGACGAGGTTGAGGTTGGTGTGGAGGGGAAGGAGAATGCAGAGAATATTCTCCCCCAGGGTATAGAGATGCAGACTAGAAAGAGGAAGGAGAAGAAGGATGGGAAGGAGGATGGAGGAGAGGGAGATCCACTTTTTAAAATTGAAGGTAAGCTTGACGAGGTACAAAGGAGAGACAAATTGCACGATGCAGCTGAATACTCGCCACAGACTCTAAATTTATAATCCCTATATCTTTGCAACGTGTAAATCTTTGATATTTCTATATTGGACTATTTGATCTAACAGCACTTCTATTTTGTAATGCCAAAAGTATGCAAATCAGGTTTTAAAGATTTGAACATTAGAATCTGTGGCGCTTGTTTATTCTTAACATTTTTGGCAATTTTTCAATTTTGACAATCTAATATTTATATTTAGGTAACATGAGAATGAAGAAAGCGCAGAAGCTGCAGCAGAAGAAGAACAAGAAGAACTTGAAGAGAGCAGATAAGTAAGTGCAAACCTCAGAGATTTTACTGTCATCTGTTGAATTACTACTAGACTCATTTTTTCCTTTATCCCCCATAGGCTATTTTCATATTTTATCGGGAATTTGATCCCTATTTTCTAATATTAAAGCTTCAGTACTGTAGTTCTTAAAGTATCTGGATTCATTGGATCCGCAACATTTTATCTCCCGATCAAAATAAACTAATGTTCTGCATAAAGCTCACATTTTAAGAGCCAACTAATGAAATCTTATTAAAACCTGCAAAATCATGAAATGGAAAAAAGTTTCTACAAAAAAAGAGCGAAGAATGTTTTGCCAAACTTTGAGAATTATTCATGAACCTGATTCGAATCAAAATTTTGTGGATCACATTGGTAGTTTTGATCAAATTGTAAGTTTTTAAAAACCTTGTATTTTTATTTTAGATTGGCCGCTGGTCTGTCTGACAAAATGGAGTCTGCATTCTCCAGTATCATCGAGGAAGATTACGACGTGGATAAAGATTATCAGTAAAGGAGGAGATATATTTTTTCATTTTTTTCAACACCGGTCATACATGCTGATTAAACCTCTTGACTAGAAACCATCTTTTATAAATTTGTCACTTCTCTAATTTGTATTATCATGTTTTTGAGACGTTGGTAGATTTAGTAAGGTAAGTTTTAACTTTTAAAAGTTCCTTACATCTTTTATCAATTGCTTATAAAAGAGAAATTTTATAAATGTAAAAGCTTGTCATGGCTATTTCATTAGAACTTTTTTTAAATATATTATCTAAAGTCTTATCCTAATTAATCGGTTTCATTTTTATAAAGCTGACACCTAAGAATTACCATCTATAAATGTCTGTCTGTTTTTCTCAGCGTTTCGGTACTAGTTTAGTTGGAAACGTCATAAAACAGCAATGCAAGAAAACTAGTATTTTTATCACAGTATTTTTCCTGTCTGGTTTGTTTGTAATAATTATGCAGTACATTTTTCCTGAACAAAGTACTAGCGCCCAGATAGTAGTAGTGAGACTTGCCACATACTTAATGGTAGTTCTCATAGTATGCTTTCGTCAAAACGTGTGTGCTCCAATGTGAGGGATTAGCAATTTGGTTTGAATCGTCTTTATCGTACTGAAAAGTAAATAGTGAATAATCTTGGTTTTAAAACACCATCATTCGAAAATAATACTCAACAAATCTTGTAAACATAATTTTATGTGTCTTTAAATATTTTATTTTTATAATAGTTGCCAATATATAAAGGTTAAATATATATTAATCCTTTCTTAAATATCCATCTGAGATAATTTTCCATATCTCATGAACTAACGTAGTATCAACTAAGTTAAAAATACCCTCACTAAAATAGCGTCAATTATCTATACTCAGCATTCATATTTTATTTTTTGGTTTTCCTTTAAATCTTATTCCACTTAACCAATTTGGAGTTTACTAAATTTACTTTTAAACTTTACTAAATATGTAAAGATATCCATTTTCATATAATAACTTTAGTTTTTGGATATTACTTCTATTTTTGGAAATATCTCGTAGGTCTCATCGTCTTCTAGACTGCCTTTGCTCTCCTGGTTATCTTTGCTCTCTATGAAATATCTGCTATGGTTCTTTTCAACCTCTAAATTCTTGTGGTTATCTTGGTTCTTATTGTTCTCTAGGTTGTTTTTGATTTCATGGTTCTCTTTGTTCTCAAAACTATCTTGATTGTCAGTGTTGCCATAATTTTCCATACTTTCATGCCTTTCATGGCTTTCTTGATTTCGCTGATATTTCTGGTTCTGAACAGCAGAACTCTCCTGACTGTTGAAATGCTCCCTCCCCCACATGCTAAGGGTCTGGTACCCTCTCCTGATGTAGTTCCATAGCTTCATCTTGGTCCTTCTGTTAATGCTGGTGATAAGGTTGCTAATAAAGGCCGCAGGTTCCTCTTCTCGTAGAATCTAAATAGATGCCTTTTTTTAAATCAACTTTCAGGATACCCCCTTTTGAAACTAAGAACTGATGCATGAAATCTGAGTTAGTAGTCCCGGTATAGTTAGTAGGAAGCCATACATTTTTTAGCGAGAAAAACACAGATTATTCCCACGAAGATTTTTACTTTTCAATCAATCAAGCAATTGTCATTATTTTTATTTAAAAATTTAAATGAAGTAAAACTTCCACTGTTTGACCTCTTCCACCCTCTTTTTGACTCAGTTTTTATTTTTATTTTGATGAGACTATGGTATAAATGTAAAACCAGAGACAGTAATGCGATCTTTCCAGTCTATGGTACTAAGAAGTAGGTATATACCTGGAGATGATCAACCCCAGGGAACTCGTGATGAGTTACCCGCTGCTTCTGCTGATCAGCCCATCGGGTGCACCCAATCAAGCTACGGTAATTCACTGTTCCATCTCCATTCCCCTTAAATACAGTCTTGCTTATGCATTTTCCACCACTGAAAGCAAATTTTTGCTCAAAACTACACACACCGGAAGTAAAAAAAAACACTGCTTTGGGTAAATTTGTAGCTGCAGTAAGCATTAAAAAACCGGTAAAACTCATTTTTAAACCACGTTAATCTAAATGAACATTATTTAATTAACGAGTTTTAGACATTCCAGTGCTTAAAAATATTTTCGAGTGGAAAGACCAGGGGGCGGGCATAACTCTCCTAATTTTGCCTGGCTAGGATTATACTGTACAATGAATGTCGAAAAATGTTTCCTTATGACTGAGTTGGTATCATAGAGTACAGTGGGTTTAATCCTAAGTACACCTATTTGTACGGTATTGTGTGGACAGTTAATTTTAATATTTTTCAACAATGAGATATTGTAATGTCAAAAATTGTGTAAACAACGATGTTTCGGGTTCAGAAATTTTTCATAACATACGGAAAGAGTGGATAGAACAAGTTATCTGGAAGACAAAACACCCAATTTTTATATGCAGTGAACCAAAATGTAAAGAAAAATGGATTGCGTCAAAAGTTTTTAAAACTGGTGCTCCTACAAAACCAATAAATTATTTATATTCAAAAATCACTTGTTTCAAGTTAAGTTCATTTATGTAAAATAAATATTTTAACAGTTTTCAGTTCTTCAATAACTTTAAAATTAAGTCTAACCTATTTTAGATCTATTATTAGTTCAGAATTGCTTTTCATTCTAAAAGTCAGAAACCTATATTCCTAAGAGTTAATGCACAATGTAGATTTCAGAAGTAAAGAATTTTATAAGAAGCAAGATGTTATCAAGGAGAAGGATTTTATTTTTTTCTCTATTTGTCATCTCTCATTTTAGATAAAAATCATATGGGCTTGTTTTCTTTGCTTGAATATTGTAGGCTTCACTTTCAAACAATAATGCCTTAAAAACACTGATCTACGAATTATGATCCCCCCAGGTAGAATTTCTCAGCGGGTCATTGTGTACAATGGCTGTACAACAAGAAGTCTAAAATTTCAGATGCCCCCTCTATTACTAATATCTCGATGGGAAAGACCCAAATTCAAAAAATTTTACTAACATAAATTTTACAAAACTGTTGAATAAAACTAAAAATATTTATATTACCTTGAGAATTGTGGAAGGATCAGATCCGGGGAATTCTCCTTTTTTATAAATCAATTTCTCCGTTGTATCAACTCCACTCCCATGCAGACAGAAAACCTTAGAAAGGTATTTTTAATTTTGAAAATTTAAAATGAGTTCATGATAAACATACCTCGACATTAGGTGCAGGTAATCCAGCAATTAAATCTTTAGTATCTAATCTGAAAAGACAAACTTTAATTTTGAAAATAGTAAAAACAGGGAAATAAATTAAAATACAAAGTCCAAAGTTAAGCAAAGAGAATAGAGTGTAGCCGGGTATTAAGACAGGTACAGAGACAGAATGTTTGTAAGCTGTGAAAAAAACGAGTGGATGAAGGAGGGAAGAGAATACAGGGTTACCCACAAGGATGAGACTTCAGAGATGCTTGTACGGAATTTGTTTAGTCCGTTCTCTTACATTTAGGGTTCCTTGTAAGCCAAAACTGCAGCTTATTTCTTTTGTTAACTATCAAATAACTCAATTGAATGCAGAAACTAAAGATCAAGCTTCAAATCCTCATAGTTTTATACTTTTGGGTCATCTTTACACTCTTCCTTTGTGGGTAACCCTGTATGGGATAGTACGATCCAAAGGTTGAATTGGGTTGAAAGGTGCAATTAATTATTTGTTCAAGAAAGAAGCACGTTCACAACCGCAGGGACCCGTGAATGTAAGAAAGAATGCATATGTTGATGTTGTACAGTCGTCTTGGAAGTCATATCTTTTCTGGGTAACCCTGTTTATACAAAAAGAAAAAGTAAATGATTTTAGCAAAACTGATGACCTCAGAATGAATGTTTTGATTGATTACCTCATAAACCAAGCGTTAGGTTCCTTCAAGTCTGTGAAGAACTCCTGGTAATCATTCATCGTATAGTTCTTCTCCGCAGTCTCAACCAGGACCTCGGTAGTGTCCCAGAACCCGATCTATAGTTAATGTGAGTAGAACTAGGGTTGGGAGATATGAATACACATTTTACTGTTACGTATTGGGACCAGTTTTATAAAAGAGCATCAACAAATTTTCCTGTGTAGGGAAGACTGTGCTTGTAAAAATATTGTTTACTAAATGTTTTTTTTTCTATATAATAATTTAATAAAGCTCTGCTCATATATATATATATATATATATTTCAGTTTTTAACTTCACATTTTTTATTAAAAAAGAATTATACTAAACATAATGTCTCACGCCATCATGACGATCCTCAGTATATATATATATATAAATGTTAGCTATAGCTGGCTAAAACAAAATCATTTTGCAGCTTTAATGTCTAGCCAGACCTTACATAAAGCTCAAAAACATGTTAGTTCTAAGAAATCAAAGCTATAGTAAAACATGCTCAGTATTGTATGGATATATATGCCAACCACTAGATTTATCTCTTTTAGTACATAGCACTGATATCTAGAAAACTCTAGATATCTAGAAATCTAGAAAGTTTGTCATCAAGATTTTAGACAGTCTCGCCTTAAAAGTGTCGCAACCCCTTGGCCTTTGGTTTTACCTCACCAAATAAATCATTATTTTTTGTAGCCCTAGGCATATACATTCAAATAATGCAACGAGCATGTTTCTAGCTAAGTCTGTAAGGAGTATATGGCAAAAAATTTCTCGATTTTTACAGTGATCGCTAGTATAGAAATTGCTTACTTGTGGCATTAACCAGGCTAGACTAGGACTAGTTCTTTGCTCCCACATCAATTTCTAAATTTAAAACAAAAAGATTGTTCAAAATATTTTTAAATGACATATGTTGACCTAATGAAGTTTTGTTTAATATTGAATTTTCCTTAATAAAAATATTGTACATTGAAATAAAAGATCATTTTTATCCTAAACTTTTCCTTGAAATTCAGTTATGGGAATTTACACAGAAAAAAACCTTAAGGAAAATGATGATCAAATGTAAATTTTTTAATTCTAAATCATTTTCACTTAAATTGGAAAAAAGTAAAATATTTTTTAAATTTAAACCTTTTCGTTGAGAAGCCAGGCTCCAAGGTTGTCTCCAACTGCGAAAACTTTCAGGGCTCTGGAAACATAAAGAATTATTAAGATAAAATTGTAGAATTTGTCGTTTTTTATAAAATATAATCATGAATTAATATTTTAAACTTTTTTAGATGGAAATTAAAAATTTACCCCATCATAAAAAAAACTTTTAATTTTTTTGGCCTTTGTCAAAACAAATCCACAAACTTTTTAAACATAAAATGCTAAATACTGCAGTGATTTGTAGTACAAATACCGGAGAAATAGTGAGTTTTTAGTGGAGAAAGGGTGTGAAGTTTCTTATCTATCAAAATGGATAACTGCATGAATAAAAATTCTAACATTTAGTTAGTAATAATATCGATCTTACCGATATCATTTCAAAATTACGAACATTTTGATTGAAATTGTGAACAGAATTTTATAATTAAAACGATTTGTAAGATGTACTTACGTTGGTATTTTTAAAAGGTTTTAAGAAGTTCGATTTTACTGACAAAATGAGTTTTTTTCTGATTAATGTGCTTTGAAAAGTGGAAAATAGATAAAAAAAAAAAAATAAGGAGAATTAGAATCATTTTATAAAATTTTATTTTAATTTATTAAACTTTTAATAAAATTAAATATTTGAATTTAATGATGTAAAAATGTACTTTTCATGAAGGAGGGGAGAGGAGGAGGACTGATTAATTGCCATTTACCTAACAGTTCCACCCCATGGTCCAGCTAGTGTAACCATACTTCTTATATATTTATCCTTCCAACCTTGACTCTATAAATTATTTGGATTACAGCGAGATTCATAAAATATGAGAAATTATTAACAACTAAATGTAATTTAGTCTGATATTTAGTCTATAATTTAGTTGTTGACGGAACTTTTAAAAAATGATAAATGTTTGATTATACTATACGTTTATAGCTTGTTAAATCATTCATAGTCCTTACATATAACGAAAATCTTCAACACCCGGTCATTTTTAGGAGTTATAATTGCCGTCATTATGTAAAGAATTTATAATTTTTTATTAAATCTGACAAAAAACATAGTTTGTTTTGTTTTAAATTGAATATTTCCTAAATACCTGTTGAAGAAGAAAATAAAGCATCATAGGAGACCCCATACTGTGAGTTAACAGGATAACCTATAATAAAATATGATAAATCATAAATATTTTCTTGAAAAATAAATGTTTTGAAAATCATTTTTCCCCACCAGAAGTTAGACATGTAAGTTAACATACCCCTGTAAAATAGGTAAACATAGATTTATAAAAACTATTTTAACAAGAATATTAAAGAAATATGGATAACTTTAAATGTGGATAAAATTTTACAAAAGAAATTTAAAAAATGTTACTATCCATAAAATACTGATTAAGGACATTTTTTAGTTTTATACATTGTTAATTTGTAAGTAACAGAGAATGTTTTTTTAGTGCAAAAAATCAAACTTTTTTGATCAAATTGTAATTTGCAGCATTTAGTAATTTGCAGAACAGGCAAATTCAAAAAGCGTTTTAAATTCGTGGCATACATTTGATTATTAGATATCGCAGAGGAGTATACAAGAGGGGGGGGGGGAGGTCTCATCAGATGGGGCTGAAAGAAGTAGAAACTAGGATTTCACTTTAAAAAAGGTTAACATGATGTAAAGGATTTAATTATAGATTAAATTACACTCAGATTATTGTTGGCCTTGTAAGTTCCTTCGATCAAATCTTTCACTTTCACGAAAAAATCTTCGAGTTCGTTCGCAGCTTTTCTGAAAATATTAGTGTCAGTAAATATCACAAATACCAAAACGTATTGGAATCAAAATTTAGAAGTGAGACATTTTCGGAACTTTTAGTAATTCAACATCCATGGAACCAGCTGTTTAAAGCAAAGTAGGGCAGAACAAAAGATAATAATAAAATTAAAAAAAGAAATGAATAAAATATGGATTACTTGTGTTCTTTGTTTTGATACATTTCAATTTTCTTCTAACGGATTATCGACTTTCTTGTTAAAGAAGGAAAATTCCTTAAATATTTTAAATCTATCGCGTACACTCCCTTTAAGTAAGTTGACCTGAAATCGTATGGTGCTCCGTGTAGGTTGACCCCCCTGGTATATCCTGCCTGGACCAGGTGGTCTGCAATATTTGCAAAATATCCAGTAAAATATTGCATACTAGGGTCCAGGTGCTCCACAGAGCTTGTGTTTCCAAAATTCGGAATTCTAGAAAACAAACATTTTAAAAAAATAGAAAATAGGCTATGCCACAATCTCAAAATTTCTATTACCTTTGTCTTTGCAACCTGATGGTGTAAACCTTTGATATTTCAAACTTAAATTATTTCATCTAACAGAACTCATACATAGTTCAAAATATCTTAGTTCTACAACATTGGGTTGCAAAGATAACTAGACAAAATTTTGAGATTGTTAAACTTTGAATGCTTAAACAATCCTCAGTGGTTTAACATGCAATTGTAATTATTTTAAACAAAAAAAGGTTTTGTTTTTTGGGAGATTAATTACTTCAGTTTTATAATTATCTTTTTAGAATATAAAAAAAAAATAAAATGAAGAAATTAAATTGATGAAAGTTTACCTGATTTCTACCCCGTCATTGTTAGAGGATTTCCTTGTAATAGGATCATACTTTAACCTCATATTATCCACCCAGCAATCCACCACCTAGTTTAAACCATACAATATTATAATATGATTTCCTTGTAATAGGATCATACTTTAACCTCATATTATCCACCC